TTTCTTTCTCTCTCTTCTTCCCCTTCCCCCCCCCCTTCCCTCTCTCTCTCTCTTCTCTCTCTCTCCCCTTGTTATTTATCTTTCTTTTTTTTTTCTTCCTTTTTTTCTTTCTTTTGATCTTCTAGCCATCAACGGCTCGATCCCTCTCTGGCCGAGTGGCCGTAGCCCCACCCGACGCAACTTTCACAGCCATGCACACCCGCAACTCCCACGAACGTCCCGCACAACTTTCACAGACGTCCATCCACCCGTAACTTCACGAACGACAATATCTACTACCGAATCACCATTCGCACAGGGAGTCAGAGACATGCTGCCAAAGGCCCAAAGACCCAAAGACCCAAAGGCACAAAGGCCAAAAGGCACAAAGGCCAAAAGCTAGGTAGTGTATAACAAAAAGATCCATCAATCTCTTTAGCCGCTGCTTCCCAAGAGACGAAAGGACCCATCATATATCAAGGACCTAATTAGAGGTATCCATGAGTTATGACAGCCACCCACGACGTAACTGCCACCCACGACATGACTGTGTAGCATTAGTAAAGGCTAGTGAAAGTCCAAGTAAAATATCAAGTACGTGGAGGTATCTATGAATCAAGACAACCACCCACGACATGACTGTGTAGTAGTAGCAGGGGCAAGTGAATGTCCAAGTAAATAAAACTCAACCCCGCGCGCAATTAGTGGTCCGTACAGGCTCACTTAAACAACAAAACATGCCTACATATCATGCGTATGAGTTGGAAAGCAAGGACGAAACCCGCAATCCAAACCCAATACCCCATTTATGCCATGTCCAAGTTTACCACCCATCACAACACGCAAATTCTCACTCTAACACTCATCTTTACGACGTTGCCTTTATTAGAGGCGCTAAAAGATGATCTCAACCTTGATCATCGCCTCTTACCTACATACCGCATCTACCAAGCATCAACTCCTTCCAAGTATCAGCACAAAACCTTGCGTCTCGAACACCGACTCTCTCACAGGGGACCGCCACCTAATCCAATGAGTACCCTAGTAATGCACCATTTCATACTCTCCACAATAGCTTCACCTAGAGAAACAGACTGTCAACAGAATCCAAGACCCTACTTCCGCTGTCTGGAGCATTCACTGTTGCTACAGTCAGTGCCGGAAAAAAACGCCCAACTCAAAATTTCCCCGCAAAAAAAGCCAAAAGTTATCATCGCCACTCTTTGATTTCACCACCGTACATTATTCCAAACATTGATAGGAGTTTCTTTGAGACTCTTTTTTACTTTCTCTTACTAGATGTAAGCTAGCCAGATATTTTTGCCTTAAAATGGTGGTAAACGAGGGGTGTAAAACAAAGTGCAAAGTAGCAAATTTATTACAGGGGGCTTACAGGGGCTTATAGTGGGTAAAAATTAATAAATTTTTCGAGTACTGACTTTGATACCTTCTTTCTCGAGCATTTATATATGAAAAGCAATATAGAAAGGTTAGTGTAGAAGGTAGTATAAAGTGATCGGTACCGTATAATTCCGGGATTACCATACTTCTATAGGAGTTGCTTTTTAGTAATGTGAATTGTACGAGTTTTGCGGTAAAATGACCAGTTGGGCGTTTTTTTCCGGCACCCACTGTAAGAAATCAAGGTTTCATCACGTTACCCACATCCACATCAAAACTGTATTCACATTCGCACGCCAAAGTCTTACATGTGCAAAAACGCTGTCATCGTCTTTGTGAAATCTAATCTACTAAGTGAATCTATCACGATACAATAACCACTTCTGTCTTTAATGACAACCTGGCAAGGTTTATCTATCTAAGGTAAGGAAGGTTGAAAAATGGAGGCATGTTTCCGCAGCCCTTTGGGTTTTGTCACTCCACTTCCGTTTCATTGCGCTTTGTGCGACAGCTGCGCGCCCGGCATAAGTGGCTATACTGGAACAAGTAGCCATTTTGACAACCAACGGAGCAGTGTCCTCCACGCTTCGTGAACCAACACGAGAAATAACTCAATTCGTAGATGTATCTTAGTCAACCTAAAAGGTAGCAGCGGTCGGAAGTTTCATGTCAATAGTTCCATAAATTCGATGCGGCGAGTCACCCCTGGTATAATTCTGGCGATGATTTCTAAGTGCTCCTCTATTTCTCTTGGCCTCCTCAAGTACGCGCTCCATCTCGGTAACCCAATTCAATGGGCGCAAGTCGTCCGGCAGAGCTAAGAGACCCCGAAGAATGGCTCGGAGGGCCTGTAAAGTCGCCCGGATGCGTACTTGCTAAAGATCCGTGAGTGTTAGTCCAATACTGCCATTGAGAGAGGGTCCTGCAAATGGATGACTTACTTCTTCGCGCAATAGTACAAGAAGCGCAAACGCCCTCTCAGTAACCGACTGGAAATCAACATTAACCCCGTTCGATCGTCCAAGGCATTGCTGGTACTCATTCAGCCCAACGCCACGCGAGAAAATGCAACGTAGTGTCCGCTGTGAAGAGTCCAGTGCGTCGGTCGGGAGATAAAATTGTCTCGCCCGTGGATTACAGTGAATTGATGGCAGCATTGGAATCAAATTGCATTGCTAAGGAACTTCAGGTCAGCTTTCACGTCCTCAAGCCACCCAGGGCTTCTCATGCAAGAGACAGGGAGGGGGGGTGTTGTTCATACCGGCATGGTAGCGGCATGACGCTACAAGGGGCTCGAAGTGATGGGTGTAGGTAAGCGACTTAAGCCACGTGGTACACGTCCTGGCTCTCATCAGACTCGTCATACGCGACCAGTCCGAGGAAAGTGTGGACAAAGTGTTTGAAATCTGCATAGCCTGGTCGCCCTAGTATGATAAGGGGGAGCGTATGGTGGTCGTCTCCTCAGCCGTGTGAGCTTCTCTCCTGTATTGTGGTTCATATTTGGGAAAGTAACAGAAGACCTCGTCTCGGACCCGTGGCCCGCCCACTCCCATGGATTCCATCGCAGCCGATGAGAACGCCAGCACCTCTGGAGCTGTAGTTGGTGTTGGTGATAAGGATGCTGATCCACACAAAGCCATGTTCGTCTTCACAAGATGCTTTTCGTAATTGGATGTTGGAGATCTCCCCACTTTTCACTGCAAGGCAATCCCTCGGTCTTCGATCTGGGGGATTATGTCGACATACTTTCTTCCAAATTGCTACAAGAGCAAAAGCAAGTTTTGGTCAGCACCCAGAGTCGTAGCAATGACAAACCGGTGGTCGTAGACGGTCATGTATTCACGCGGGCTGTTCTCGAAGTTGCCTTGTCCCACGTTGTCGAGAGTGGCGGGCGACGAGATTTTGGAAATGAGGGCAACACCGGTGATTCCTCAACACGCAGTCGCATGCGAAGATTATTGTTTCTGATGACACATGTCGGGCGAGTGTGGTTGTGTGTGACTTCGAGTTTGAGGAGAAAATCAGCAGAGCTCGTCCCAAAATCGCGATGCGTAAGGCAAAGCGACCCTGCCCAATGACCAGTCCCATATGAGATGCCCGAGGTTGAACCTGGTCTGGCGGTCCGGATAAAGGTGGGCAAGTCCCACTGGAATAGCATTCCCGCTGCGTACATGGACGGTTGCCCTTCAGGAGCAGGCGAGTCCCCTATGATGTAAACTGGAGGTAGCACCCAAGAAGGGTAGGACAAGACAGGTGTTGGTTGCTCAAGGAAGGTGTGTTTGCGGGTGCCGACGCAGAGTGAAGGTGGCTAATGTGAAGAGAACTAACAGCATGGTCTAAACCGCGAGCACAGCCAGACCAACATGATTCGGTCAGCCAGGCAGTGCAGAGACCGGAAACCCAGACCAACATGATTTGGCCGTAGTTAGACAGTGCAGAACCCGGAAACCCAGACCAACATGATTTGGTCGTAGACGGGCAATGCAGAACCCGGAAACCCAGACCAACATGATTTGGTCGTAGACGGGCAGTGCAGAACCCGGAAACCCAGACCAACATGATATGGTCGTAGTAGTCGTCTGCAAAATCCCAGGCATCCCCAGTGTTGGACAAAGCGTCGAATCTTGCCATGGCGACCATTTCTGGCAGTGCCAAACCCTGCGGCTTCTCAGAAAGGCTCGTGGAGAAAACTGACCTTCTCTCAAATGTTCGGGCTGGAATCATGGATGTCAGCAAAATGACGGAAACCCAAGAGTGTGGTAAAAGGTAGAGAGGTAGTGGTGGCGCTGAACTCACCTCGGACATTCTTACCATGTCAGGTTCTCTTGGTCCCCTTCTCTGCTACTCTTTAAAAATGCGATCGGGTAGTGGGAATCATGAATCACTGCCTCAAAGGATCGCAGGACGCGCTCCTTCTTCCAATTGTCGTAGTATAAATAGCAGGAATGTCCCCGATCTGGAGAGCACCCGCCTTTCCCCTTCCCCCGGACTGATTCCAGCTGTCGCGTACCTCTACCATATCGATCATTCTGCGTCAAAATTACCGCACTCTGAGAGATTGACATCTCAGGAGGACAAGTCGTCGTGGTAATGCTGCATAACGGTCGGGATGTTCTGTTGCATTCTGGTTCGAATGATCTCATGTCTGATCATAGGCTGTAGGGCCAAAGCAGCAGTTACACGGACAGGCAACTTAGGATCGGCCACACAATCGGGGATGTGACGGTAGACAGCGAGGAGGTTCTGCTGATCCTTAAAGTCGAGCTGCCCGAACTTTTCGATAGTGTCGCACGCACGGGCTCTGAGGAAGCCTTGCGGGTTGGTGAAATCCGGGAAAACGTACCGAACCAAGAAGTATTCGACCTGATCAGCAATAGGGGACTTCTTGCCAAGGATAACAGGAGCAAGAGTTCCGATCATGCGGTGTTTCAACGAGCAATGTTGAATCCGCTGCGGCATTGGAAGTCGGTAAGAGCACGAGTCCGTTGTGTTGCGATGGACTTCGAAAAATCTGTGAGAATAAAAAGCCATACATATGATATCGCAATTGGTTATCGCTGTGTTATTTTTGTTTCCATCTTGCGGATGACCTGGCGTGTCAAGTACATCGTAGGTATGAATCTTTAATTGTGATCCCGTGAGGCGCCGTAGGGAGGCGCGTAGACCGAGGGCGTAGGAACTCGGTCCCAGGGTGATGCCAAATGTAGCCAATAGTGATCCTGGGAGCCGACGCATTAGCCATGGAGGCTGACACGTGAAGGAGGAGAACAGGAAAGCTTACCTGGTCCGATCTACCTCCGGCGGCTCCTCGCAAGGAGGAGGAATAGGCGGTTCTGCTCTTAGCTGGCCTCTTCAACCCTGGTCCTCTTCTCGTAACCTTCATGTTGAAGGGCGGGACCGTGTGGGGAAATTGGAGAAACCGGATTGACCAGCCCAGAGAACATGGCGGGAGGAAAAACAAGGGCGACCTCGGGCGACCTGAACCTTTTACCAGAGAAAAGCCGGCAGGACCAATAGCCACGAGAAAGGGATATTGGGGGGTACAGAGCCGCCACCGAAATGATTCTTGGGTTTCGTGGAGATTCAGGGGTACAAGGCTCGACGGGCCTTGTCTGCAGCGACTCTGCTTTCTCTCGGGGAGGGTGCCCTCGGGCGGGACAAAAGCCGAACACAAGGACTCCAACCTGATTGATGCCGACTTTGGAGAGATTTTTGTACGCAGAGAGCCACAAGCTATGATCAGCACGCTCAAAGTCGATGGAAACAATTGGTCAGCATGGGACTGAACTGATTGCGGCGGCGCCGCTTGTTTCTGCTGAGAATTGGGAGCACTGATGCCATTCTGCCACGCCGGCAATTTCGCCTCCAGACCACCCAAGGTGGGATGTCGCGTTTGAAGAGGGAGAGAAGCACCCGAAGGTTCGGTGGAGTCAATGAGGACCTGTGGAGGTTTGACTTGCTGGTAGATCAGGGCAAGTTGGGCTGCTGGCGAATTTGGAATGACACAGTGTCTGCCTCTCTGTTAGTATCGTGGCCATGTTTGTAGTCTCTTGTATCCGTATCCTTGGAAACTAGAGAATGTACTTACACGTGCCAGCTTGGAGGCTTCAACCCAGGATGTCCCACTTGTACACGTCCTTTCGTGACTCAATGTCACCCAGGCGACTGTGCCGATTGTCAAAGGCAGTGTGGTGGCCCCTGCTACCATCGAAAAAGTCGAAGAAGAGGTGGTTGCGCTCAGAGGCCGGGCCGAGGCGCATGACATTGGTGGTACCGCATGAAGGCCGCACAGTTGATTCGAAGTTCTCTTGCACTGACGTTCCATGTTAGCGTCGGGCGCAAATGAAATGGTCAAGAGTGGAGGTCGAGTCGACTCACCAGGAAAGGGAAACGCATTTGCTCCAGGAGAAACACTGGGCCCATGTTGAACGTGGCCAACGAAGCTGGCTTGACGAAGACGCGAGCTGAAATTGAATTTCGCTGATGGAGACAAGCAAGAAAGGCGAAAGACAAAAAAGAAAAAAAAAGGGACAAAAAGGTGGAAGAATATATCGAGATGCCGAAAGATACAAGATAAGTGATGAGATGTTGGAAAAGATATGTTGAGAGTGTTGGTTTGTCGAGCGAGAGAGAGAGGTGAGAGAAGTGAGGGGGACTGGGGCATCTTATACCAGTCAAGAGATCCCAATCACTCCAGGAGGCCGTGTGGAATCACCTTGTATCGCCTTTCCTTGTTGACAACATCCTGACGACAAGATGTTGGCTGTGGCGGTAGGAGCATCATGTTGGGTGTCGGGTAAGAGAGGACAAGGCATGGACGGGGGGTGGTTGTTGTTCGAGTTGAGTACCTCGAGGGCAGGCAGCAGCCCCTCCAACACAGACGGGAAAGCTCTCACGGCCAGAGGACGGGGGCAAGCCGAGCGAGCGCCGTCTCCGAGGCAGTCCCACTTCTTGACTTCCCTTCCACTTGCAAGCCCCACTTCCTGTCACCTCCCCTCAGTGCCCTCAGTGCTTCGTTCCTGTCTCGTCTACACTCCGGGACTTGTCTCTTCTTTCTTTTCCACCAGACACGACCGACTGCGATGAGTGACTGCCGGATGAGGGGGACCCAAAAAAGATGGTAAAGTATTTTCTGTCCTCACGCCTGCCCTGCTCCTCCTATGATTCTACAATACCACAGCTGAAAGCAACTACAGACTCAACAGAACCCGAGCACCTTCCCTTGACCTTTCCACCATCGATCCGCCGCGGCTCCTTCCCCTTCGCGTCTTAAACATCGACTCGACGCGCCACGGTTCCGTCGGTGCCGGGGACATCAGAGGTCCCCAAGGCAACAGGCAGAACCTTGCTCGTTTGAACTTGCCCTTGTCAACAACAACAACCGAACCTGCCTCTCGCGACCGCCGAGTAGCAATGTCAATTCCGAAAAAGCTCTCCCGTCACGCGACGATATCAGCTGATGGGCATCCGGGACCTCTTCCTTTCCTTGCCACCGACACAAGCTCCCCCATCCAGGCAGCCGTACCTCGGGTTCCGTCGTCAGCCCCCTGTCATGAAGGCGCGAATATCTGATGTCCAAGACGGCCAGGCACAGGCTGAGACGAAAGAACCTGCCCATTTCGATAACTGATTTGGATTGTATTCGAAAATGCCGAACGAACAAAGAGTACACCTGCCATTGACCAACCGCCGCACACAACAAGAGCCTCCCGGTGACCACAGCTTCTCAGTCTCGAGAAGGCAGGAGGAATAACCGCCGTGGTCAAACAGGCTGGTAGAATTGAAGGATGTTGGACGATACTCACAAGGAAAGATAAGCACATGTCTCCTTTCTTCCAATGTCGCTGCCGCGCTTACCACTGTATTGGATGAGAGTCACGGTGTAAGATTGGCTGCCATCCTGCCAGGCCAGCTTCCTACTGCATAGAGCATGGGCTTTCCGCCACGGGGCATGCCCAGCGAGAAAGTTGGAAGCTGGAAGGTAGGTACGTTGTAGCCTATGGACTCAGTACTTACGGTAAAAAAAAGACCGTTAGTTGGGTAGGTTGCTTGAACAGCTAACCCACTCCTTGGATTCGGTGACTATGCCCACGAACTGGAAGCAGTATCCAGAAAACTGATTGAAAACAAGCCTCTCCGAGTTGTCAAGGGGGATGTATTTGTAGTATTTGTTGCGATCAGTCGGGAGAATGGGAGCCGGCTATAGCAGCTGGACTCTCGATTCCCAAATTGGTTCGACATTTTTCTTTCTCTTCGTTCCTCTACATCATGCCTCGCCGAGAGTCTACTGAGAACGGTCAAGACTCGGTGTTTCTCTCCTTGACTTCCACTCCTCTTCAACTCAGTTCTAATGTGAAGATACTCCTAGTACCCGCATCAACATTAAATCTTTTGGCGTATCCAATCTACGATGCCGTCGCCCTGTGATTGTCCGACCGAGATTATGTCCGATGTATCCGAATCTTGCCGCACACACCATCAGAATCTCGCCTGGATCAACCACCTACAATGAATTGAATACGCCATATTACGACATTACTGTACACGATAGACCATTTTATCGTGTGACCACCTTCGGCGCCAAAGGTCACGACCGGACCGCCGCTATGAGACGTGCGACCAAGAAGGATCAAGATGACCTGTGATGTTATTGTTGTCGGTTTGGCGTTTTCTTCCAGCGGGACGCTCGATAAGCGAGGTTCTATGCCCAGGTCCGGTCTGGTATGCTAAGAATGTGCCCGCGCGCCTGTCAGTCATCCTGACTGGCGTGGTTCGTCGCTTCACAATGCCCCCCTTCAGATACCTAATGATCGTCCCGATCATCTTGGCTTTGTACATGTGGCGGTATTAGTCTATGGATTGTGTGAGCTTTGAAGCTACCGTGTGTTTGTCCTCATCGCATCAACCTGCTTGTTGTAACGAATGACCTAAGTTGAACGAAAAGAAGATCTATCAACTTCCTATACCATTGCCTCTCATCCCTTTATTATCAACGATGCCAGGCGCCAGCCCAAGGGCTCTCAAGGCGACATCGTCACATGTCCGTCCGTCACCTATCTCTTCGGCCCCCCGGAGATGTTAGGCGACGGATCCTGCCATCCTGGGTTCGTGCACACCGGGTCTGTCGCGAGCCGAATCCGGCTGCTCACGGCCCGACACAGCACGGGGCAGGATAAGATAGTTTCGAGGAACCCGTCACAGGTGCGTCCGACGACAATGAATCTCGCTAGTCTGTGCTTGACACCTCGACTGGCTGGGTGACCGACCCGGTCTGGTAGCGCTCAATTATCTTCTCGAAGCCCACCCACGGTCCGGCCGTGATGAATGCGTAGCGGCATCCATTGCGTACAACTTGTACGCAAAATCGCCTCCTGGCTGGCTGTCAGCGCTATCGATGTATGCCCTGAGAGGCGCTGGCGACCCGGAGCTCCTCCTCCGCGTGAGCGCCTATCCGCACTAGGGAGCCCTCCCTTCCCTTTGTTTCCTTTCACATAATCTTCAGCTACTAATTACGACCTGAATTATAGACACCGGGCTCTACAGCGCCTACAACGACACGAGTAGCCGCTGCATGTTCGACTTCCCTCCCGTAGTGCACGACAGTGTCCAAACGTTCTAGGACAACATTCTGGCCCTTGTCCGTACCCCTGAGAGCTTGGCCGACGCTGTCCGCCGGATGCTGTCCGTGTATCCGTTCGTCCCTGCCCATTTCCTGACTTTTCTTTCTTTGCCAATACACTCAATACTGACCAAAGGATTCTGTCAAATAGCATTCAGTCCTCATCCTCAACCCGAAGATGTCATCCAACGATGTGCTCATTCTCCGTGAAGCCATCCGCAAGCTGTTGAACAAGATGGAAGAAAACAAAGAGAATACAACAGATGAAACCAACGCGGTCGTCGAAGTATATGACAAGTGGATCGGAAGTATCAACAAAAATCAATGCGGTGAAGCGAAAAGGACCCACGTTGTGGTACTTTTAGAACCCCAGCTTAGAACATCGCCAGGACGGGGAAGTCAGACATAATATCGTCGGTCTGGAAGTCGATATCCTCTTCATTAGCCGCACCCTGCTCGCCAAACGCACGCGACACCTCCTACTTCACGGCGGTCCGGAATCGCGCTATGGTTCAGCAGCAGGCTCCCCGCCGTCCTGAACACGATGCCTCGGTGGAGGTGCATCGTTATTGGCGCGATGCGCAGCGTCTGCGCCTGGTGGAGGGGGATGCTGGCTACGCCAACTGGTCCCTCGCCAAGTTTCGGTTCCGGACCGCCGTAAAGTAGAAGGTGTCGCATGCGCTTGGCGAGCAGGGTGCAGCTAATGAAGAGGATATCGACTTCCAGACCGACGAGGTTATGTCTGACTTCCCCGTCCTGGCGATGTTCCGCTTTTTCCATCCTTTCCTTCTTCTTCTCGTCCGGACTTTCCTTCTCCCTCTGCTTCCGATTAGGTTTCATCCACCTTGCTTGCCTTTTCTTGAACTCTTCGGGAGTCTCATTTTCGATCCGTTCCCGTCCGGAACGTCCCGTCGCGTCGGTGGATGCTCCGTTTCGGTTTCCGTGAGCCTGCTGTCGCCCCGGTGTTGAGCTTCCATGAGAGTGAGTGCCTGGGTGACTCTAACCGGCGGCAACCACCAGCACCAAGCCTTGTTAGCTAGAAAACGAATGCTACAGGGCGGAGTAATGCCAGACGCAAGCTCGGGCAGGCGACCTCTGGAAAGGGAAGAAATCGTAGGTAGGGAAGCGCCGGACATGAGGCTCCTAGAGTTCGCCAAACTCACCACACAATCCAGACAATCCAGTCTCCAAGTTATGCACAGCTTTCTCCCAGTGGTTTGACATATCCAGCTGAGAAGAATGGCGCTCAAACGCATCAGCAATTATGCCGATGGTTCGCAACCGCCGTCCTATGCGGACGCGACGACATCAGAACCAAGAAAAAACGAAAAATTGTCCGATGAGATAAGGAAACCGTCCAACAGGAAATAACAATCGTCAGGCTGTGCTGAAGCTATACTCAAATGATAATGAGATGAGAAATTTGATCCCAAATGGGAGACGGGATGACATATCTCAAGTGAAAGATTTCCAGCAGTATTTTCTTCAGATGGAACGCTGGTACAATATTTTATTGTCGGATCATAGTCGTCGAAATACCATGCATATTTTCATAGTTGTCTAGGAACTTCGAGCTACAGAAGATGCACTGGACGGGCAGCATAGAACTAGACGGAATGAGGCAAACACATCGGAATCCCGGGGGCCTTCGAAAGTTCAAGTCGAAAATGGGCTCGAACTACATCCCTTCGCGCAAAAATCACGACATGGTCTCGGACTCATCATCATGAATCATGATGCCTGAATCTCACCGTGCATGGTCATCCAGATTTGTTCCGATCTGAACCAAAACCGGAGTATTCTCAAAAGCCACCCAAACATGGCAGCTGGGAACAAAAAAATGAAGTATTTGGGATCCGTGTCATCGTGAGGGCCAGTTGTGCATACCGGGACTGTTGAGTTTAACATCTTGCTGACTATCACTGTTGTGCTGGAAGATGTTGCAAGAGACGGGGAAGTAGAGAGCAGAATGGCAAGCGAGAAACATTCAATACCTGTGGTTCGAAATCTGAGCGGGAGTCTGGGACCGGCTCGACGGCTCGATACAAGAGGAATGCTTGCGGCGTCGCAGGAAGAGAAATCAGACAAGAACAACAACAGCCGAAAGAGGAAAAAAGGGGAAGGAGAAGGAGATAGGCGTAACTCAATCGTTCTTACACTGACCTCGATCACAGCACCTTCCAAACCAAAGAAACTCGTGGCCTCAAATTTCTTTGTCGAGCAGCTATGTGCATGCGAATACAACGCATGAAATGGAATTTTATGATTGAGCAGACGGACAGCATAATATGTAGGTGGTGGAATACTCATAAGGTTCAAACACTGCGCATGTATTCGATGCAAGATCCAATATGTCCGAGATATTCGTGCGCGACAACAAAGCCCCGAATTCCTTCTGAAAGCTGCCGGTCATTATTATGGCCTTCTTCGGCCTGCAACTACCTAATATCTAGGATGTTCGAGGACTACCAATATTCTAGGAAGGAGTCGCGTCGAACAGGAAACTCCGCCTGGAAAACATTATAAAGTGTCGGGGATCTCTTCCCCAATTGCTTTTCACTTCTTCTCTTGCCAGACACGGTCTAACATCAGAAATTCATCTCCAGTCCATTCTGTGTCTACCAAGAACAACAAGTTCACCAACGAACCCAAGGAATTCCATCACTTCTTACTTTCCACAAGAAGCGCAACATTACCAAGATATCATCTCCGCTTACATCCTCCACGGTCAACAAAAACTTTCTACTGACCCGAAGAAAATTCCCCCGTCATGTCCAACGCCATGTCACAACGCGCCTCTGAGGAACCAGAGGACCAAGTCCAGGGGTAAGTGATGGAAACTATCACACAAAAGCACACCTCTTGTGGACCAGTGAGAATCTGACCGTTGAGCAAAACAGGGCATCGAACACGGCCGGCACCGCTGTAGACGCCACCACCATTAACGGCACCAGCGGCAACACAGACATCAGTGAAGAGGATTCCGATGCCTGGTACCGGAACCACAACGTGCCACCAAACTCCTTTGCATCCTCCTCCTCCCGCTCCTCCTCCCGCTCCTCCTCCTCCACCTCATCGGTGGCCACAACACCGGGGTTCACCAACTCCGACTCCATCTCGAACAACAGCGCAGGGACGCGAGAAACATCACCCCCTTCGCGAGCCACTTCCGGAGATGGATCCCCGGTTATAAACCATCATCATCAGCAACCCCAACACCACCCCCAGCAGCACAACCATCACCCTCATCCCAACCCCATTCCCATCCCCAACCACAACCACAACCTCAATCACCCCCAGAGCAACCAGCACCCTCCCCCCGCTCAAGACCCCCTCTTCCGCCGCCTCTGCACCACCTGGCTCCGCCACCTACACCATGTCCTCCAAGCCCACGCTTTGGTTGTCCGCGCCCAACACATCCACGACACCAGATGGCTGCAAGTTAATTCCCACCTCTTGTGGACAGTGGCGCCGTTGACGGAAGAGGCAAGGCTGTGGTGGGTTGCGTGGCACACGCAGAACGAACGGCGGATGTTGCGCGAGGCGGAGTGGCGGTTGTGGGTGTTGATGAATGAGGATACGCCGCGGTTGGTGAGGGTGGTGAGGGGGTATGCGGAGGGGGGTTGGGGAGGGGGGTTGAGAGGGGGATGGGGAGGGGGGTGACTACTGGAGGGGACTGGAGGAGGAGGTCACAGAGTTTGAAGAGCGGAGGGAAGGGCTGGAACAGTCTGGGGAGTGGTGGTTTAGGACATGGAGGTGGATGGAGCGCACAAGTGGTCTTCGCCGTCCGCTTTAGAGATTTTCTGGACGGTATGCCAGGACTTGGATGCTTGTAGGGTCGCGAATCAGATATTTGCCTGTCAGCTGCAGTTTCATTGTTGGCAACTTGGCTGGGCGGTGGGCGATGAATGGACCGGGATGGAAAAGAAGGATTTAGCAGTTGTAAACTGAAGATACCTCTAGACCTAGATGTTTTCTTATAATCACAATCTCCTTGACCTCATCAGTTAGAATAGCGTTGAGCGCCCAATGGCCGCTTCATCCCTTGTTTTTTGTTGGAGTTAATCGTTGTGATGAAGGCATTTCTGCAGGCATGACGCACATGTGGACATGCACTTCCATCAAGGAAATCTGGGATGGAAGTTTCCAGGTAAGTTGTGCTGCATCCTAATCCAATCTCCAACTCATCCGTTGAGGGGTGGAGGTCAGATTTCCTGTCTCTTTCCCCAAGCCACGAACTGTTTTATTCTTTAAGGTTTAGACACCTTGTATTGTACACAGAATCCCATCTTCCATCTCTCATCACTTTTGCCATCACCATAGCCAACAAAATCACAATAGTGAACCAACACAATAGGCGCTTCGTAATGGCACAACCACAACTTTCAACCACCATACGCATCCCGCCGGCTCTGTCCAGCATGGACCAAAGCGACATCGATGTTCTCTTTCATCACCCCATCCCAACGGAGCCTCGCTCCAAACCAAGAGAAGCCGAAAGAAACATAACCATCGCCTCCAAGGACGAGACTCGCCAAACGGCAGTGTCGCCTACCATCCACCCGGACGCTTCAGAGGACATTCCAAGGCCCGCAACTCTGAGTACATCTACGCCGGCTTGTTATGATACTTACTCAGCACTACTAATCGTGGCATGGCTTGGTACCTTGCCGGATTATCTTCCTCCCCGCAGAAGACGACAAAGATGTCGCGTGCACTGCCGACGACACCAACATGCACGCCATTGTTTCGGCGGCGTCGACCATACGGCAGAAGAAGGAATGGACTTGGATGGATTTGAGGAGAAGGAGTGTGATATGGTATAGTAACTGGACGAAGTCACTACTCTATACTGGTACAACCAAGGGCATCACCGCCAACGGCGCTGATACCTATTCTACACGCAGGCAAGACAGCACACAGCTACGGATACAACATAAAACGAGGTGAAGGAGGACGCATGTAGCACCGAGCATTCCAGATGATTGTGTTTTGTTACTGCACAATCAGCGACGAGCAGGAAGGATCGCTGGCCGCCGTTGCAAGTTAAGTGGAAGAGATCCAAACTCAGGCTGTAGCAGTTTGATGCCCGTCGAGATGAGATGGAAGAAATACGACGAGAAGAAGGCAGGAAGAGACCTAGAGGTAGGCATGTATTTCGGTCGTGGGAAGTATGAGTAGAAACATATGAAATATGGTAAACAGAGGCTGAAATGAAAAGAAATAAGCGTGAATCTTTACGAATTTAACAAAATACATGACTTTAGCTGTAGAACACACGAGATTGCACAGTGACTTTGCGTAAACAAGACTGAGATGATCCCTTAACACTATGCCTATGTTAGTTCCATAACTCCTCATTTGTACGGGACCACCGTGGATCGTGAAAACAAAGCCCCTTACGATCCTTACCTCTTCAACAAAGAACAGGTAGTATAGTAGTCACCAAGCGTTGGACATTTTCGTGATTGATTGGTGGCAAGAAGTAGGTAGACATCGATTCTGCGGAAAAATCTAGGAGGCTGAATTACAAGTCAGAAACTCACAATTTGTGTCCCACTCCAGTCGTCGCCTGCCAGGCCCAGACTACCTCTACTACTCGGACACTCGTACACCTGTCCTCGGTAGAATCGAAACGCACAAAAAAGGATACGTGAATAACTCGACATGCGGCAGGCTTGATGATTCAGACTGAAACATTATACATACAGGCATTCATGGTCTGTCTGTGAGAGAGTGGAAGACAAGTGGGAAATCGCGACATGGTCTCCGGTCCGATTCCCAACACCATCAAGGCCATTACCTGTAGGCTCCTACCGGCTCTGATATTTCTGAACCCCGCCGTTCCGCGTCGTCCGCTAACTGTACTGGTTTCTTGTGGCATATATGCATGCACAATGTCGGATGAACTTGCGTAAACTTGATGCTGCAGTTTTTAGAGGTAGCAATTCCTGCGGTTGAGGGTTCAACTTTTTTTTTGGGACACATTTCAAGTACAAGCCGAGAAACTTGGACGTCGGACATACCGAACTTTTCGGAGAAGCGTTGAGCGCGTCATTGTCCACTTTTCTTCTGGACTTTCCATTATAAAAGGGCAAGCACCCACCAAACTTTCTTCCTCCCAATTTCCTTCCACCACACTTTCTTCTCCAGTCAAGATGCAAAAGACAACCGATCACATGGCAATCATCAAGAACGGAAACAAGCCCAATTCCATTCCACACGAAAGAGACACCATGACGCAAGAACACTCTGCCACAACCATGGCTGACGAAGCCAAGCAGACGGAACGCCCATCGCAGCCTGTTCCCAACAGTCCTGTCAAGCCCGACTCTATTCAAATTCGCAGCAAACCCGATGAATCCAGCGACAAGACATCCTCATCGGAAGCCTCTACCAACCGCCGCCTTCCTTTCGGATGGGACCCCGCGTGTATTTCTCCTCACCCCAAGCGAGGACCGAGGCGTACTTATCATTCGGGGGCACTCGCGTATTACAATCCCAACCCCGCGTTTTGCAAAGACGGCCGTATACCTTCAAGATTCGGCCGTGTATCTCCTCCACCCGAAGCTCCACATCAACATGAACTCGACCCTCATAACCAGTGGCCTATGACACAACTCGACCCTGACAAGTACCCTGGGACGGGGATGACATATGTGCATTTCCAGCCAGCGGGGAATAGTCCATATGAGCCTAGACCGATTAACATTGCGCCTGCGAATCGTCCTTGCGTACATGTATACGGCGTACCTGATCTGGGTTATGGTATCTTCGAACACAGCGTACGTGCCTTGAAGGCGGGGGAAGAAGTGCCGTGGGTGCATGGGTATCCTATGCCTAGAATGTTCCCGCCCCCGAGTGGTAACGACGGCGGACCTTCAAAGAAGGCGGAGGAAAAAGCCGAGGATTCTTCGCGAAAGGGGAAGTCTGTTCGATTTGCCGGAGAAACAGAAAACACGAAGGCTTCAGCAGAGAAGAAGGGGGAGGACAACACAGAAAAGGAGAAGAAGAAGTCCGCCATTGCTTCTTCTGCAAAGGAGTGGGAAAAGACCTCCTTGACCTTTACCCCCCAAGGCCACTTCTCGAGGGAACAGGAGGAGAAGGAGGAGAAAGAGAAGAAGATGGAAAAGTAAGATCATGATATCGTTGACGGGCTCTACAAGTCTTGTTGATGTCGGGAATTTTGTTGATGGACTTATTTGTACTCGAACTTTGGGCTCAACAAACGAAGCTTGTAACCTGGTACACGAATTCCAAGCAAACCACCCCTCCATTTTCAAGTTGAGATACGCTCACACAACAAGCCCTCGCATCAATAGAACGGTTCATCTCTTCAGACACCTCCAGAGATACGATGAATGTGACAAGTTTTCCTGTGACATGCTGCCATGGTACCTTAGCTACTGCTAGTCCCTTCAACACCGTTCGTTGTCTATTACACTGATACATTCAATGCAGCCACTCCTTCTAAACATGCTCAACCCCAATGTTTTCTCTCCGCAACTCCTGTGCATAGCTCTCCCGCCACTACTCTTTACTGTCCACAGCATATAACTCGAAGTCCAAAATGTCTCGCTTGGCACACGGTAACATGAACCTTTCGCTTCAATCCTGCCCCTACTAGATATCTACCACAGATACAACTTGAACCAAACCCGTGCCCAATTCTTTCTAACAAATATCTACCTCTAGAGATATCAAGCACGAGGGCATCACCAACACGAGCTGAGTTGTTGCCATCTCCCCTGTAGACTTTTTCCATTCCTTGTATCATCTCACTCTTACCCTTTTTCTCAATTTCACCACTACCGCGATCCCTCGCTAACAGCCAACCTTAACTTCCCCAGCCATAAATTTGTGTCCCGGACACAGACCTGAGCAGAGGCATCCTTCTTCTTTGTATCTTAGTTCTTACTTCCACGTTCCTCTTGGCTCTCGGCTGAGATTCTTCAATTCTCACTCAACAATTATACTGTCTTCCCTCTGCTACGAAAAAGGAACATCTCCTCCTCCTACGACAAGGGAACCCACTAAAAGGGAAATGCGGGGGTTGCGACTCGGCCAAACGTGCCGGCCCATGTGAGTAGGTAGATGGAAGAGGTAGGCCAGATCCACTTTCTTCCTCTTGTGCCGGCCATTAACCAGCCTGTGGGGACGGACATGTCCCGTGAAGAAATCTTTGATCCAGCGGGATGCTTGGGAGATCTGGATGACGGATGCGGTCGTAGGGTCACCAAGCAGGCGGAGTGTGTCCTTGCTTGGGTTGAATAGATTCTGGGCGCGTCTGAAGCGGCCGGGTGATGGGCGGGATACTTCTTTGGCGGGTGCCGATGGGCGGGATGGTTGTGTAGAAGGGGCTGGTTAGATATGCTGGTAGTAAAACGGTTCTGTTGCAATGGTATGATATATAGGTAGGTACCTCTAAAGATTACGAAGGTTCAAGTGTGTAATCCATACGTTCCCTTGTCTTGGACAGAGAAGAGGTTGGTTTTGTAGAGGTAAGGAAAAAAATATAAGTTGGGAAAATACTGGAAGTAAGCAAGAACAAGGGCTGACTACGTCCGCTAAGTGGACATCAAGAAGCTGGAGATTACTTCGGAAGGTTCTTACAATCACTTGGTTGCTAAATTTTAAAACACAAGAAAAAAGACAAAAGAAAAAAAAAGATATACGTTCACCTACAAGGAATAGGTAAAGAAAACACTTCTGATGTCATAGTCCTTTAACCCTCGATTTGAACTCGCAAGGCTGATTGAGGGTGTCATCACCGGACTAGGTAGGTACTGCACCCGCTGTTCCCGCCGCATCTCATATCCCATCTCCCATACATCTCCGACTCTCCCTAACGCCAAGCACATAAAGCCCAACTGGCTCAGTCGGCAGGCTCGCCCCTAATCCTCCTCTGGCGGTTTTCCCACCTCTCCCTTTCCACGAGAGACATCTCCGCAAGGCGGTCATTAACCAGCCTACGTGGACGGACATGTCCCGTGAAAAAGTCTTTAATCCAGATGCGTGGGCGATCTGGATGTTCGGTACGGGAATATGCGTACCAAGGGGGAGGCTGGACAACCTGGCCGTTCGGAACATCGGAGTTGGCTGCCTCCATCCAGGCAACTGCCTGCTGGCGCAGTGTCTCCTCCGAGGCCGGCGGCGGCGGCGGAACATCAGGAATCTGAAGGTTCAAGTTGGTCTGGCCAACTGCAATGTCTTCTTCAATGTCTTCGTCGCCATCAACTTCGGTGTGGGGAGAAGCGCTGTTGGAATTGAGCGCCAACGAAAGGTCCGTGCTATCGACCGTAGAGGAGGCGGCTTGGCTTGTGGGGGTTACCGCTTCATTGTTGTCGTATTGAGCCTCTTCCTTGGCGTCTTGACTTCCAGGAATATCTTCGGGTTGGGTGTTGGTGGAACGACTAGAACGAGCAGGAGACGTCTCCGGATTGATGTTCTCGGGAAGCAGATCGACTCTGGCCTGCTGAGAGTCTGCCGAGGCTGGAAAACGAGCGGTGGGATCCATGACGTTGTAAAAGTCCTGCTGCGGTTATTAGAGAGTTGTTTTATACATCTATGAATGGAGATGGTGAGTGTATTACTGTATGATTTGAGAGACGAGTAAGTTCAGTTGTATGTCTAGGCAGCGGAGAAAGTTCTTCGCACGGCGCGAAAAAAACTGGCACCTATCCTCTAGACGATCGTAACGCTTGCTGAAGCCGCTGCTTAGAAGTAATGTATGGTACTAGATAGCTGAGTGTCTCGTCGAGCTTGAGGTTGTATGTACCCAGGTAAGTAAATGGTGTTTGTTTTGCGTTTATAGAATGAATCTGCCGAGCGTGGGTTGCGATTGTAAAGAAAAAAAAGCGAGAGGGAGCGGGCTGAAAAGTATATTTCCGTGGGCAGCTTTTAGGGCATGGAGTCCAAGACCACCGAGGCAAACAAAACTCGGGCGGTCAGGCTGTAGATACAAGTGAATGGTGTTTTCAAGTGTCCCGCCGTGGGGCGGTTTCCGCGTGCGGGACGTGGTATTTTCACCTGGCAACTGGTCCGGCAACGAGCCCACAGCACGTCCAAAGTTACCTGGCTAGGGAATGGTGCTTATAGTCCAACGATCCCATAATCTTTCGTCTTGTCCTTCAGACCTTCACTTGTCAGACATAAGGTGTTTTGTCCGAAAAAGAGGAAAAGCAGCAGTGCAGAAAAGGGGTACTAAGAGGAACTTCCTTAGCCTAAGAAGGAAATGGGGTACAAAAGCTACCACTTGGAAGAAGCCAGGTATTTATAGGAAGCATTTGTACTTTGCAATACCTTGAGATTGGAATCCAATCCCAATGACTAGATAACGACATTATCTTTGCCGTAGTCCAAATCTGTTGTAGATATCTCATTTGGCTAGTTCTTTAGCCAAACGTAGATGAGTCAGGAACGAAAGACCCGAAAATGTCTTCGAGGCCGGGGCAGAAGGAGAACTCGAGGCTTGCGAGGAGACCGGTGATAATGGCGAGGAACGGGAGGAGCTGTTAGAAACGTAGATTGATCCACTTTCCGGTGGACGCGATATTGACGAGGGCCTAGAGTTGGGTACTTAGTTTATCGACGAATTTATTGGAGGTGCTATTCAGAGCGTCGTCGTTGGTTGGTGCTGCCATTATTATCGTTCGATTTTCCTACTCTTCACAATCGCGATAGTGACTGGAGAGCAAGAAAAGAACGACGACAGAGACCGCGGATGAACGCACTTTTGATCGTCCTCATCGAATTCGTCTGCTCCTTCCTCCTTGAGGACGACGAACAACTCTTGACAGACTTTGACACCATCTCGGGTACGACGCAGAAGATCATCTCCGACGACATGGCCAGAACATGATTCTTGGGGAAGGAATGGAAGGGACAGTGCTTCCTCGACGCTGACAAAGTGGTGTGGACTGAAGGAGCCGTTGACTGAACCAGCTTGCATGCCCGGGATTGCGTGGGTTTCCGGTTCACTTCGGATGGTTTGCTCCGTTGTCCATCTGGGGTTTCATCAGGACAAGAGACAAAAGAACAACGTCGTATGGGTTGGATGAGGTGTAGATAGTATTCAGGTCGAGTGTCTTGGGGTCTGTCTAGCTTCTAATGTTTAGCTGGAACTCTTGGTACCTAGATAGTGTAGTGTTGGTGATATGCTTTCATCATCACGTGGCTGATGGGACGATGGACGATGCCCTGGCACTTGGTGACGACGTCGTTCAGGTCCTTGTAGGGGTCAGCCGCTCAATATCCTTCTCCACGGGGCACCGCTCCATCACGGTTTGGCGCTAGACTCTGAGAAATGTATACGGGCCCATGGTGTTCCAAGAGATATCCAGCCCCCTTCATCATGTTGTCCATGACGCGGTGGTTCAACGTAGAAACCGGCGCTGGAAATGAATATTGATTCATCGTGGACTGGAAAGAACCAGGCATATTAGATGCAACGAGGCTCCCCATTAACTGCTTTGCCTGGCCTGTGAAAGATGAGATGTCGATGGAACAACCCAAGTTGCCACGGTAATGTTTCGGGACATCGAGTATTGCTGGAAAAGCTGTCTCTGGATACTGGCAACTGCTATCAAGTTTCAGTGTTGGCGTTTTGTGATTCGAGCTGATGAGGCACTGGGGAAAACGGGGGCGATCAGAAAGGAGAAGATAAGTGCGTAGGTGGTTCTCTGAAAGCATGTAATGAACACGTTATCCATCTCGTTGGCTTGGGTTGTGGTTGTTCTTATGGGAAGGCCGACGGCGGAAAGGTATCGCTGCCCTGTCATGACAGTGTTGTGAGTCTAATTGGTCAAACAGCAAGATGTGACTCTTTCACCGCTGACTTGGTCGTTTGATATGACATAGTCATCCTGCTTACCTTTTGTTTTCTTTGTTATTTTGTTCAAAGCGTCCATAACATAGACTATCTGAGAGTCAATAACTTGATGGCTGCGAACAGATGCACGCGAGAATCCCTGCCCCCACTGTGTCAAATCCAAACGCCAAGCCACTTAGACTTCCTTGCCATGATACTCGTCATTTGGTGACATTTCGGTGAGGCGACCGCTGGAAAGGTTCTGTCTTCACTTCTTGGTTGTTGTTGATGGTAGTGAATCTGCGAGTTTTGAGATGTTGCGCGTATGACTAACGCTGTTCAGGTGAAGTTTCAAGCTTGCAAGTCTTTCCACGACAGTGACAATAAATATGAAAGTCCCATCTTCTAGGACTGCTGTCCCCGCGAGAGGGCTCAGAAAGGAAACAAGAGAAACTTGGAAGGGTAGGCTTCATGGTAAGAAAACTACAACAGGAAATAGAACGGTACTCCTTCTTGTACATTGGACGGTATCAAGACCTTGCTTCATAGCAATCACAATGCCAAACAAACCAGCTAGTAACCTTGCGACGTAAATCAGTTGCGATAATCCTTTTAGGACGCTCTTTCTCTCTCACCATCCCATGACAGCCTCCCCCACTCTCTGATTCACCATTCCCAGGCTCATCGCTCTTTCCTGACATCTCTCCGCCTCCTACTCGGTGTCCTCATCGTCATGCCCTCCCATTCCATGCTCTCTCGCCCACTTCTCCCTCTGGGCGACGGTCATCTCGGCCAGCCGGTCATTAACCAGCTGACGCGGGCGAACTCTACCCGAGAAGAAGTCCTTGATCCACATCCTGGGGCGAGGCGGATCGAAACGAGTGGCGATGTACCACGGAGGAGGATATACAACGGTGCCTTTCGGGTCAGCACGAGAGTTCTCCTCCATCCAACGAATAGCCTCACGGCGGAGGTCCGGCTCAGAGAGGGAGTTGTAATAGTCCATATTATACATGGCCATGTAATACTCGTCCTCGTTTTTGCTCGGTTCTCCGCGTGAAGGAGATTTCTTGGTGGTGGAGTCTAAGTCTTCGTCTTCTAAGTCCAACTCAAGCTCTGATTCGGAGAAGAGGTCGTCAATGTCGCTATTCGACAACTCGGGTTCCGCTGAGACTAAGATGGGTTTGCGAGTATTTCTGTGGAGAGGACGATTATGATCGCCGGTCATGTGCGGTTGATTGCCGGTTGTGCCCTCGGATTCGATGTTCATGGGGTCTGACACCGTTGTTTCCCCTTCCGACTCCTCGTCTTTGTGCTCTGACTCAATGGTTTTTTCTGGCGACGTGATGAGCTGGTTTGGAGAAGAGTCGCTCAGCTTGTATGCAGGCTCCTCGCGCTCCACGGTTCTCTGACGCTTGTGGCTGCGGGGTTGCGGGAGGCCGTTGGTGTCAGAAGAGGGGGACTTTCTCTTCGACGGACCGCGGGGAGTGGTAGGAGAGTTGGGTTCCATTTTAGCGGCGAGTAAAAATTGACGTCTATACATTTTGTAAGCGCAAGCCAGTGAACTAGATCTTGGGAGATGCTTGTCGTACCTTGGAGATCCAATAGGTAATACCAGATGCTGATCAACAAAGAGAAGGGTTGCGTGAAGCTGACCACGACAAAGACGGCAAACTGAAAGCCAAGAAGGCGCTGATACCGAAGGATATAAAGAATATCGGCGATTCTGCTGAGTTCGCTGCAAAAAGTGGTGAACATTGTTGTAGTGAGGAGAAGAGAAAGAGGGGTGGGAAAGATTTCCGGACGCGATCAAGTGGCAGGAAAAGTTTACCTTGGTGACGAGGAGAAGGTGAAGGAAGATTCCAGGCAAAACTCAAGGCGGTCAACAAGTTACCGTCAGTGAAGGGTGCCTTCCAGAGTTGCAAACCTAAAAAGGAAGGAACGGTAATTTCAAGTCCTGACCCGTACACTGCCAGGCACATGACCGCCAGTATTCACTCCTGCTCCATCAACAGTCGCCAACAAGTCCTTGTTGATCTACTCGGCCTCTCCTGAGCTACAGCGATTCCTCTGCGCGTCCTTCAGCAACATCCCGTACCGGTACTGCCCAGTTTCATTCCCGCCATCCAGGTGAAAGGCAACCAGCCATATGCCTCAAATCCTCAAGACCCAGATTTACACGAAACACGACTTTTAGTATACGTGGCGAGATCAACTCCCGAATCCTTCGCTCAAGGAGTGGCGAGAGAGTGTCCCCAAGATCCCACCATTGCCAACAGACCACCGCAAGACCACCAGGCCGTTCAAGGATATCTCTGCCGCCCTTTCTTACCCGCCTCATCCCTAAATTCACCTGCTCTAGTCGCACCACTACATAAACCGCAACATCCTGCAGCCCGAACGCGTGAGCTGCCTGTTCGGGAAACGGATCCCAACATGAGGATGACTGCACGCCCCGTCCCGCTCAGCGGGAGCACGATCAAACATGTCCCCATCAAGGTTATCGACACCTGAATGGACACAGCTCGCCGACAATCGCCCCATCACACTGAAAGCACATACACTGACAAATTCCGTTGGGGAGAATTTGCGTCGAGATCCCCATTGAATAGGCGCAACGGCAGCCGCGCAAGGGTGAATTCCTTGAAGAGCAAGTTCAACTCTCGTATCGACAGCAAGCAATGAACAGTCCTTTTCAAATTGACATTCGCTGCTACTCCAGTCGTCGTGACCGCCGATCAATTCTTTATAATCCTCGGACTTGATCCGACATACTCATGTGTGCCGTTGTGGTCTTGATGATCATGCCCCCCTCGAACCTTATGCCCGGAGGGCAACGACGACTTCAACATCTGGAACTGAGAGGACATACTGGGGAAATAGTTACGTATCTAGGGTCATAGACTGGACAGGGCAAGGAATACGTCCTTTGATTTGTAGGTAAGTATGAAGCAAGTCGACCTCGGGCTTCCAGCTCGCCGCCCAACAACCCATCCACGAACCCCAACAGCAACATTCACCATGCCTCTACTGCATTCAAGCCTTTGCGTATCATGCGGCGAATGAACCGGCCCAAATCCACTGCAAAATATGCAACATCCAATCCAACAGCATCGGGCAATGGAGCAAGTGAGCCACAGTCGTCAACAACACAGCGACCCAACCGCGGATCAACCTAGCATGGACAAGCCATGTCCGGACCAACCAGCAAAGGACAAAGAGTGTTGGGATACTCTTTACAAGTGCAACAAAACGAATACGGCATCAGTATTGTCGTAGGGCGCTCAAGCGATTGAGACTGAAGATGCCTTGGGTGACCGCTGAGAGCACGCAAAGGGTGTACGCTATGGTTATTGGTATCAGTTTGTGCCAGTCTTTGCGCTCCGCTCTCGCAGTCATGTTTTTTTCTTCTAACAATCTGGATCCTCAAATGTAATCAACCCAACCCAAAAAAAATTGCTTGTAGGTTTTGGTAAGACACCTCCAGAGTCAACCGACCAAATCGGTTTGAGAATAAGGAGTGAGGAATTAACTATCAATTTTGATAGCGAGATATCTTCTCGAGACGCCATCTGATATCCCTTGGACAGAAAATTTTCCTATCTGGATGAAACTTTTTCTCCTTTGGATACTGATGGAAATAGTATGGACGATCCTTTCCCGAATCGAATTTCATCCGAAGGTCGGGATAGCTACCTCTGAATCCCAAGCGCTGCATGCCTAGTATGTTTCTATCTCCGCTGTCCAGTTTTGACCAAGCCCCTAACCGTGAGTACTGATCCCTACTGTCATTTGTCCTCAATGTAACCTCCTGCTCTTTCTCATGACCAGGAAAAAGGCATGTAGCTTCGTTTCTGGGTTATTGTTTCGGCGTCGTCAGGCGGCATCCCGAACCTTGGCAGGCGTATCGTAGTCGATCAGTTGGCCTTTGAAGGTATGGTGCTTTTCTGGTCCGTCGTGTTGATATTGTTTGGCGAGATATCGCGGTGGAGAATGTAGAATGGTCGAAACGTTCCAGACAGAGCCAAATCCGGATTCTCGTGCAACATTGGGCGTTGGCGTTGGCGTCCAGCTCAAAAGCGTTTACGCTGGAAAACTTGGTAAAAGATGTGGACCAATGGCTAAGTTTTGTTCGGTAGCCCGAGAAAGGTTAGCCCGCTGGGCAACTTGTCGAGAGGCACGACTCTCGAGCCTGTGTGCGGTCTATGGTAGGCTGCCGGGCTCAGCTTGCCCTCTGCCACGCTACTATAGAGTGTGGCCGAGAACGCCAACACGCTGCCAGCGTATATACGCGCTTGCCATGTATTGACGTTGCAGAGCAGAACTTGTTCGTGTGTTGGTCCTTCGAAGCTCTCCCGGATTGGTCCCGGCGCCAGGGCGCAACCGAGACCATTCGCACGAAGCATACCGGGCAGAGTCATAGGGAGGTCGTCAGCAACCAACCGCGCCTGCATCGCGGTCAAGAAGGTCGACGCACACTGGCGCAGGCGTTGCAGGTTGCCAGCAGACAAGGGGGTGCCGACGGGGACAAGGGATACAACTTCGGCAGCCATGGCCTACAGGGCGTTCCGATAGTTGCGCATGCCGCGGGGGACCTCCAGCATGTACCTGCGAGGTGTTAGAGAATGGGAGAAGGGAGAGAGGCGGAAGGAAGAGGGGACTTACCGCGCGCCTGGCAGGTGTTCGAGGCGATCAAGCGGCAGGCGTTATCCAAGCTGATGGGGTTGACGTTGGCGAACGCTTGAGCCAGGGCAACGCTGTGACCCAAGCAGGCCAGGGGGCGGACGTGGCTGGGCGAGTTAGGGAGGGAATTGTTGGCATAGGTCGCCGCAAGTGCTTCCCAAAACACCACATGGCACCTCATCCAATAGCCAGACCACTATTAAGAAGCTATTGCCATCTCTTAGGCAACCATTCCAGACAAAAACATAGATTACTTGCCACAATACACTCTAGAGAGCTCACCAAACTTCGGGAAGAAGATAAGTTCCGAAGAGGAGCGAGGATTCAGGTTACGCTGATCTCTTGTCTCTCTGGAAGAGAGTTACAACCGACAATGAGAACAGCAACGCAACAGCCACATGAAAGCCGGTTGCTCTCATAAAGCGTGCCATCCCTTCTAGAAATAAAGACTCAGGCCTAGGCAGCTCGATTGGCTCCACAGAAGAGAGTTCCAACGGACAAGGAGAACCGCAACGGACCGGCCACATGGGCGCCAGTTGTCGTGAGGCGTGCTATTCGCCATTGTTGGCGCATAAATTCAAGCCCAGGACGTCCCAAGTCCCGATCCGCGTCAATCAGCTCCTCCCGGGCAGCCGGTTGCCCGCGCATCTCGTCAGCGGGGGCCGCCACCGAGATCGAGGGGGTGGGGAGCGGGGACTGCGCCTCAGCATAGTGGACATACTCGCGGCTGCAGAAAAGGCCTGAAAAATACAGATCCAATCGTCAGTGTGATAGCCGCCGAAAATTTACACCATTCTGTTCAATGCGCTTGGAAAAGCGTTATAGTCCTTGCTGGTTGGTTGCGTGGCGCAGCGATGGAGGGCGATGTACATGGTAGCACAATGAACACTCTCATGGACTATGATTATGTTGTTTCTTTGCATCGGTTGCGCCGGGGGACGCCAGATTACCGCGTCTGACGGCCACAGCATACAGAGGGAGGGTGGACACATCCGCGTTCTCAATGGCACGCATGATGTGGGCGTGCTATGATAGATCCGTAGTCGAATCGATACATTTCTTGAAGATGGTGTGCAGTAATTCGCATGATCTCGTCCCGTCAACGGTGATGACCAAGTTCGATTTGATATATGAGCATCGGCGGGATGTCCGGTGAGGGATATGTGGTCGCCCTATTGGGGAGACGTAAGGGGGTAGTCATGCCCCTATTAGTGACAGTGGGTCGGGAGACGCTATGATGATCTCCCTCTTGGTCGGCCTATGATAGTAACGTCGAGGCTAGGCTGGGTGAACCACGACTTGGTTGAGCTTTTGGCGTTGCTTGAGGTTGTGTTGCAGAGATCTCGGGATCGGATCGCTCTCTTTCCTCTCTGGCCCGCTGCCTGCTGTCGCCGAACTATTCGGCATAAAAGCTCCTACCATCGAGGAACTCCATGCTATCGCCCAGGGTGCCGAGATGGCTGATGGAGAACGCACATTCACCATAAATGCCGATAAGAACGCCAGGCCATTAGACAACAACTACAGTATCGACCAGTTGGCGTGTATCCTACAACTATGGTGCGAAGACCATCAGCAAGACCTGGAACTTGGTTGCCTAATGAGTAGAGGTATTGGGTTACTCAACCTCTACGATAACGACGACACCAGGGTCGATACGGGTATTGAATGGATCTACAGTTCCAATAGCGGGCGGGCAACGGCGGACGAATACACCGACCACTACGAAGCTCTCCGTAGCCCGACAGTCCCAAGCTCGCCAAATAGCAAACCGTCTCCAACATACTCGCTAAAAGTCTCAGACTTTTCCCCATCCGCCTCCATTGCCGAGCGCTCCGCTAAGAAGTGCCATGTGTGTGGGGAGATTTTTCTTCTCTTAGAGGTAATGATGGTATGAAGGGCACTCACTCCAAGCCCAAGGGCAACTTACAGCTGTTGATACCTTCTGTGCCTTCCATTGGGATATATCTCCGCCCCTCACCTATCTTTTCATCCCAAGTCGCGTCTCAGTCTCGATCTCCAAATACCGTCAGCACAGCCGATGGACCAAACCCCTACAGGGGGTATATGTAGTACTTCGACAGCACCCAATTCCAACACCGAGGCCTCAACAGAAGATGGGGCGGACGAGCCCGAGGGGTCTTATGGCGCAGCGGTAGTAGTGTCGCCCCCACCGGGGGGGCAGCCGGCCACCCTACCTACCGCTACCGCGTTCGAAACCGGGGCAAGTCGCTGTCTTCACCCTTTTTTTGCCACTTTTGTTCCCCCTTTTTTTTTTGCTGTTGGATTCTCTGTTCTAGATCCTGTCTGCTTTGTATCTCGCTACCTCTATCTAGTACGTGGAGATCTTTTGTCGGGACCAGACGCTACCATGTTGCGCCAAAGCATCACGCTCTTTGTGAGCGCCTGAGCATCTTCCCTCGGGAGCCTTCTGAGCTTCCGGAACATCACCCCGGACTGGGTGGCCCCTTGGGCCGTCAGCTCCCTCGACCCTCCCGCTGGCCCGGTTCTCGCTCCTCTCGCTCTCTCCGCGGCGCCTGAGGATGCCGCGGTCGCCGACGTGCTGCACTCGGTCATCGCTATGCACGACGATCTCTGCCGCCCCTGGCCAATGCCGTCTCCCCTCAGTCTTACGCCGGTAACGCCCTGATCCTGCTCGGCGCCCACGACGAGGACAGTGAGAAGGATCTCAGGAACCGCTGCCACTTTCACCCCAGAAAACCCAATCACCCACGAAACCGACTCAGATCCTGAAGAACTCCTGGCGATAGTGACCACCTATTAGCATCTATTACTGCGACATCTGCGATTTCCGTAGAGAATTTCCAGCTGGGGATGAGGCTCCTCTCCCGTGCCGCTGCGAGTTTCCTGACACTTATGCGCCGACGTCTGGTGGATGGCGGCCTCCCGACCAGCGTTGCTGCCTGGCCGCGCGCCCAATACATGAAGGCTGGCGACTGGCAGACCAAGGGCTCTCGCGAGATCTTCATGAACGATGGCAGTGCCGCCAGCTTCTGCGAACCTAGTTATCCCCGACAAGCCAACTCCCAACACTAGCGAACCAGCCCAAAACAGACTCTGAGTCTGTTCCAAAAGAAGACGGTTTTGGGGGCGCACAAGGACAAATCATCCGATCACGAGGCTTCACTTACTTCGTCCGTCAATATTGTCCGTTGAACACGATGAACGCCGTTGGGTTCCTGATTGGTAACCGAGATGGTTGTTGCGGTTTTCTGTAGGTGTGCATAACTGCAGAACTGCTTGCATGACCTATGCATAAACGGCCTTCTCAAGCAAGGAGTTGTGGGTATTGAGGCCCGTGTACGTAAAGGTCTCCCGAGGCCAGAGACAGATGCTGTCTCCGAACAAATCGTCGAAGTACACATAATGAGGGTCTCGGTTTCGAAGCGACCAGAAAATGCAGTGAAAAAGTGATTAAGGGATTCTCTTTTCACATTTGACATCATTTTTCTATCCAATTTCTGCTAGAGACTCAAATCCCAAAACAATTGGCGACCAGAAAGTTGGAAGTCGCGATGTAGGAGCCCGTGTCGTCGTGTCCCCACTCCTCCCACTGCAGAGTCGGGTGGCCTGCCCCGCGCCAAGTTCGCCCTTCCACCTTTCATGGACACTCTCCATTTCCACGCGTTTGCACAAGTCCACGAGATGACCAGTATTGCCAATAGAGTTTATTTGGTTTGCATATGATTAACTGTTTGTCTAAGTCAAGCTAACAATCCCGCTTTTTCCAGACTTCGCCCAGCCGTGCACCCAAAACCCGAATCGCCTCTTCGCCGGTTCCCGTCGCAGACACTCCGTTCTCATCGTTCCTTCACGCCGTATCTTCGCTCCCACAGATTAGCCAAAGAAAGAAAGAGTGCCACAGCTATACTCCTCAGCAAATGTCACGATTCTAGCATGCGATAGCAGCCGTCACGACTCCCCACACATTGGCTCTGATCTGGGTCAGCTCGCCAGCCAGAAGGACCAATTCTACAAGATGGTCGGGACGGAGTACGACGCCGATAGCAAGGATATAAACCGCAATGGCCAACAGAACCCATACGGCTACAGCAAATTGATGTACCTTTCCCGCTGGGCAACCAACAAGCTCCCGTGGACCGGTCTCAGGTCCTTGAGGGGTGGTAGTTGGAGCAGGGGGGCATGAATCACCAAAATCGCCATCGTAGTCAAGCTGAACCAGCTTATTGATGGTGCCGACGCCCAACGTGGTAGCCTCCTCATCACCCCGCGATACCATTGTCTAGATCAGCAAAATAAAACAAATAGTACACGATAATTATCATGCCATAGGCCTCCACTTCCCTTTCTGAGAAGTGAAACCAGCAAAGTATCCTTGCTCCTGCTCCCACATCCCCATCGACGACACCCTGTGACAAGCTCCTCTTAGCCTTCGTTTGGGTCATCGTGTTCTCCTGGAACATGATCTTCGTCTAGCCGGGTTGGCCGCTTCTGTAAGTTTACTTTATATTCCGATTCATTTTTGTTCTTCCTTTCTCTTCTCGTCTCCTTCCAGTTTACCTTGTCCTCTCGGTCCTCTCTGTTCCTCGCTCACCAGAAACAGGCGCTTGCTACGCGAGTATATCCCCCACCGCCCCGAAGAACTCGGTGAGGCGCTAGCCCGCCACCAGCAGGAGCAGCGGCAGCAACAGCAGCAGCAACAACAGCAACAACAGCAAAAGGAACAGGAAGAGCAGCCCTGGCAGCTGGTAGTTTGGCAGCCTCGTATACTAGAGGTAGCCCTCGCCAGGGACCTCGCCCCCGCCAACGCTGCCCCCGCTAATGCTGCCGCTCCCCCCCAGCACCCAGGGCCGTAGTGGCGGCCCAGGGTGCGGGACGCGAAGACTTTGGTCCGCATCGCGCGGTTGCCTCTCTCCCTTTCTGGCGATCCGTCCCCTCGCTTGGATTACAGGTCGCTCATGGACTTGATGAAAGACCTGGGAAGTCGTTGGGAAAAACCGACCATCACCAACTCACACGTTGATACCGCCTCGTTCCCGTTATTTTACGAGGATGACGCCCAGACCGCAAAGTATCTGTCGGAGGCGTCGAACATGATTGAGCGGATCGCACAGTTAACGAGTGATAGCGGGTCGTCCTAGGAGGAGACCCGGTCCCGCGTTCGCGAAGAGATCGCTAGCAGTGCGCTTTTAAAATCCCTAGTCTCTAGGCGCCACCCCTTTACCAACTGCATTCCTGACGGGGAGTTGCTTGTAAGGGGGGTTCGGACACTCAGTAAAACAGTCAAGGAAGGATGTTTCAAGCGAGGACGCTGATCCGCTTGTGTTTGATTACGGCACACTTCCTGACTGTCCATGCGAACAAACCTGACTCCCCGAGAGCCCAATAGACTATGTTGACACGGTCGCTTGGCGGCATGAGATGGGCGTCAACAGTGAGGTGCATGAGCATGTAAGAGAGCCCGCCATCGTAGTTGAGTTGAATCAACTTGTTGACGGTACTAACTTCTAATGTGGCTTCCTCGTCGCCACGCAATACCTCATCGAATACCCGGGCACGCATCTCACGGTTCCCCCTCTGCCTCTCCATAGCGTGGAGGCCCTCCAATAGGCGGGACCCCTGGATCGCGGTCTGTCGTCTAACCGCGTCGTCCTCGAACATTAACGCCCATGCATGGACGTCGTAAGATAAGAATTGCAGGAGGCCAATGAATGTAAGATTTAAGGCGATTTGACGCTCGTCGTCCGTCATCTGGGTGATCTCTTCGTGCTGGTGATGACAGTGAGGCTGGGAAAGAGTTGCTGGAACCGTAGATTGATCCATTTTCCGGTGCCCGCAACCTTGATGAGCGCCCAAAGCTGGGTGCCGAACTTCGCGAGAAGCATGACAGACGTGTCGGCCGTCGTGCCGTCCGCGAAATTGGTCATGGTTATGTCGTTTCTCGTCTTCCTTCTTCGCAGTCGCGATAGTGATTGGAGAGCGAAGAAAAGAAACGACAGGGGTCGTCGGTGATTGGGATGCTTATGATTGTGTTGGGCTGAGGGAGGAATAGGAGAGAGAGGGGAGAAGGCAAGAAGGGGTTTGAAAGATGGGTTGGACGGGATGTTTGCAGCCCCCCTTACAGACACACCACGCAGCAGGAGAAGCGGATAGAAATGCGGCGGCCGCAGCGGTTTTGAAAATAGAGACGAAGGGGGGCGAACAGGACGCCGAGGGAGTATATGGCATATCCCCCATTCTCCTCGTAACCCCCCTCTATTTTAGAGAGGCTCTTGGCCCTTTGCAACATATTGTCCAGATCAATCGAAAAATGAACCAAAAATTGAAACGTCTTGGAAGGAGTTGGGACGCGTCGCTGGTTTGGTGTGGGAGTTATTATTGCTCAGGAACCTTTTTCTCCAAGGTAACGCCAGGATTCACACTTTGATGGTAACCAAGGACTGGCCAGAGAGCCACAGCATCTGGTGTACAGCAGTGCGTCCCACTCACAGCCCGGATCTCAACCCCATCCAGCACGTCTGGAATAAGACAATGAGGAAGAGACAACTGAGAAAGGGGTCCCCAAAGCTCTATTATCCTCGTTGCCAGCGAATGAGGAAAATAAACGCTGGGTCGAAGAGATACTCGTCGACATTTGAATGAAGCCCGATTGCGACGATGCCTTTGAAACCCAGGGCGCGTGGGCCGACCATATGAAGCAAGAACACAATATTGAAAAGCCTTTTCGGATCCTACATGCCTTCATTGATGAGTTGATGACTTCAACGCTAGAGCCACTTGGAGCGATAAAAGTTGGGTAGGGAGGGTTGGTGAGCGATTGGATAGGGATGGGGGTCTTACGGTTGGGTGTAGGGGGGGTGTTGAGGTTGATCGCGTCACGAGATGCTGGAAACGAAGAAGTGCGGCTGTTTTGGTTGGTCGTATGCATCCTGGATTCGACAGCTTGAAGGACTCCTGCTGGGGACGTTGAGAAATCAAACGCTGTCGGGCCTCGATGATGGCCAAGAAAAGGGCTTAGAAAATGTCGGGTTGGTGGGGAGCTGCTGTCAACCTCCCAGCGCGCCGTACCAGCGTGGAACTAACCTACACAATGGCCACCAGTAGGTAACCAAGACGTTAAACATAACATGATGAACTCCCAGCTTATCACCGCACAGCGGGAAGCGGGACCGGTAGGGAGAGTGGCTATCGGGGAAACGAACGAGCAAGCCCAGATTATGCTCACTTTATGTTTCGCAACCTGGTGCCCCTTCCGAACATTGAACAGGTGTTCCTGAAGCAAGCAAAGACGGCCCGCGGGAGCAAGGGCAAAGCCATGGAGCCTGACTCCAACCCCAAAACCCCAAAGTCCCCAGCCGACGTAATCCAAGACGTCGTGACGGCGCAGAGAGGCGGAAAGTGGTCTATCAAAGGCACCGCGACCTTCTCAGGAGGTGCGATCAAAAACGAGCAGCGGGCGTCGTGGCCCTGGAGTCGTTGAAGTGCGGCCAACTGACGTCGAGGGTGGGAACATTATCAACTGACGCATCGCCAGCAAAAGGCTCAACGCCGAGCTGGGCGTGCTGGCCCGCCGACATGGAGGAGCTGCGCAAGAGCTCTTTGAAGAGGTAGAGCAGGAACTCGCCGCATTCTACACTGAGGTTGATCACGCCAAGGCCACCTACCGAAACAATAAGGCTTTCTACTCGGAGCTTCCAGTGATTATGGACTCTGGGTTCTAGAAGCCGCAAGATGCTTCTTTGCACCCCACTGTAGAAGAGCCTCCCTGCTCCCTACATGAGACTGCGTCTATGGGAGCACGCAACGACAACAAAACACATCACAATGGAGGCGAAAACAAAAGTCAATTTGATTCTAGCCTATGTCCCCTCGAACACAGCCGGCAGCGCATCGGCGCCGCGACAAACCCTCATGTGCCAGGTTTGCCTTTGCCTTTGCCCTTGGACTGTTCGCGCTTGGTAACAGCATCGAGTCGTGAAGGTGTGGCGATAGCCGGAGCAGATTTCCTCTTCTTGGGAGTTTGTGGGGTTTTGGCCTTGGGAGCGGATTCCTTCTCTGTTGGCTCAGGTTCGCCCTCCGACAAGTCGTTAGGAACGAAAGTGGGATCTTCCAGAAGACTTCCGTGCTCGGACCTGTCCGTTTCCACATCTTCCCATCCTTCAATGGACATCTGGACGGTTGGTCCAGATCCCCACTGGGCGAGGTCGCAGAAAGCAGTGGCATCCCCTGACACCAGATCTCCTGGTGGTTGTTCGAAATCAGGCATTCGGAGTTCTGTGTCGTATTGGTACAGATGGTTGATCATGCCGTCGTTCAGGGCACGCCCCAAATTGTCCAGTTGTTGCACATCCAGCAACTCCTCGGTACTGCTGACCTGTTGGACCCTTGTACAGTTACAAGCCGCCCGCATCCACTGCCGTGTCATTGCTTCCTCCAACCATTCCACGTCAGAAATCCACACCCATGGTTTCCAACAGAGCTGGGAGTTCTCCGTGGGTGACTCAATTGAGGGGAGGACGACGACTTCCTCAACCTCGACAGCACCCTGGACTCCTTTAGCAGAAGGAGAGCGCGATGTCGGACTATCGCCCTCCCCGCGACTACGTGTGGTGCAACCTCTGTGTCCGCACTCTCCACCGCATCATGCCAATGATCTATGGCGACCTCGAGGAGTGCAACCTTGCCTTTGACCGTGTCTGCTGCTAGCAGGACCCCTGTGAGTCTCCGTTGTTTCCTTCTTCTCGTTGTCGCATCTGACCCTTGGGTAGTCCGTCCGCGTGGTGCTTGCCGCTAGTGCAAGATCATGGCCGTCCAGCTCGCGCATCGGCCGCAGGCGTTCCAGAGGATAAGATCCGCCGACGCTTGACAAAAATTTGCACATTGTTATACCGGTTCTGCGTGTGATCAACCACCCTCTTCTTGAGTCTCTCCCTTCTCTTCCTCAATCTCCTCCCACTCCCTTCTTTGCATTCGAGCCCAGCTCTCCCTTCTCTCCAGGGGCATATCAGCGAGGCGATCATTAGTCAGCCGTCGCGGTCTGATATGACCCCAAACGAAATCTTTGATCCAGATTGCCGGTCTACCAGCGGGACTGGATCGAGTGCGCTGGAAGTAACTCGGGGGTTGCACAACTGAACCGTTTGGCAGGTGATGGTATGTCCGCTCCATCCAAGCGACTGCCCTCCTGCGCAATTCAGACTCGCTTAAACCCGCAGGGTCCGTAGCGTAGTCATTGTCGTTCGGAAGGTTCTCCGTGGGTGACTCAATTGAAGGGAGGACGACTTCCTCAACCTCGACAGCATTTTGTATCTCGCTGTTCTGAACTGGGTGATTGGTTCTCGATTGGACCGCATCCTCAGGAGTGGGCGGAGCGACTTGCTCGGAAAGACTTTTATCGGCAGTGAACAGAGTGACTTTCTCTGGGAAATTACGATCCATTTGATCGCCAGCAGAGCGAGCGGGAACAGCTTCTGAACCAGCAGCTGAATTGGAAGAAGAAGAATGAGCGACTTGCTCAGTGGGCTGCTCGCTGTGATCGCGATTTTGCACATGCGACATGTTTTGGGTTTGGTCTGCAATGATGATAGATTAGTGGTCGATCAAGAGCAAACTCGAATTTTGCAGTGAGCACTACAGTTTCATTAGGAACTTACATATAGAGAGTGATCGTAAGATGTGTGCGTATCGAAGTTTGGCGTGTAGTGACTGGGTTATGATCACTCGAGAGGCAAGTCTTTTTTTTTTTTTTTTTTTTTTTTTTTTTTTGGTTGTTGGAGCAAGAATAATCAGTCAAGGAAGCAAGTCGGAGAAAGAAAAGTTGAGGAGGGGCAACGCTCGACAAAAATTCAGGCAGAAACTTCAGACGGAAATGATGGAAGGTTCAAAAGCGGTGAGATACTGACGCGTGAGGAAGGAGCACGAGACGCGAGTGAATGGTGGTTTGGGGTTTGAGTCTAGTCCCAGAAAGGGGCACGCCGCCAATTTCAACCCTTGACTCGAGCCGAGCAGAGAAACGAACGGTTGAAGCCGCCCAATCCAAACAGAATGCCAATGAAGTACAAGTGCAGAAAACGTACAGAACGAAGTGTACGTAACGGAACTGAGCGCTTGCTGTTACCAGTCTACGCGAGCAAGAAACATCCAAGACATGGTTGATAGAGTTCGTCAAACTCCGGCATCCTTCATCTGTAGCATATGAACTCTTACAACTCGCTCGCACCACTACCACCAGTGGAATGCTCCGGTTTTGGCGTGATAAGCCCGCCACCCCTCGCAGCCGGGGCCGCCCCCCGTCGCAAGCAACACTTTTACATCGCGCGCACAAAGAAGAGCGTCGCGCTCGCAATCGCCAACTCCTTGTCTTCCACCCGTAAGCACCACCACAAGCCGATACCTGGCACAATACATCGAGCCGCCTCCAGCTGTCCAACGGAAGGCCGGAACGAAAGCTGCTGAAACTCCCGAAGAGAGAGAAGAACGGTTGAGAAAGGATCGCCCGAGCGCCAGTGGAGGGCCAACAAGAGGGCAGCAAAAACCCCCGAGCAAGCGGGGGAGCGCAAAAGGAAGGATCTCGAGAGGAGGGCCAACAAGAAGGCTATCAAAACTCCACTCCGGGGGAGAAGACAACAGTCAAGACCGAGAACCTTGACCCTTGGCCCAAAGATAACTACATCCACAAACACCATGGCATCAACTGATCCAACTGTTTGCAGTGCAGCACTCTATGGCTCTTAAAGGTGCGTACTTATCTTCTTTGAGTACATCCCATCTCAAATACCACCGTTACTGACCTGATCAAATGGTGAGCAACCGTTAGTTAGCTAGTTCAACCAATCCACACCGTCCCCTTTATACCCCCAACGAACCGCCATCAGCGACGCAGCACGGATTGCATCGTCCACGATCCGGTTACAGAGTCCGACACCCAGGACTCAGACATCGACAACCTCCTATCCCATAGGTTAAGATTCCCTGTAACCTTTTATCGACGTCCTACTCCGAAACGAGGCCCGCGCTTGCCAACAGCAAATGGGGCACCTCTGTCACATACGAGGGCTTATGCTCTCACGACGCTTGGAACAACGGCGCCAGAAAACAAGACTGATTTTTGCCAAAGGGATCATATCTCCCAGCTGGTCGAAGAACTCGATGGATGGCAACGAAGAGATTGATATTTTCGAAGATGGCCAAGACGGTGATGACGATGATGGCCAAGATGTGGTCGGCCAAGACGTTTTCGCGGCCATCCGCCGACACAATGTCACTACCCAGCGATCAAGGAGGGGGATCCACAGGATGAAGTACCCCGTCGATGGCAAGAAGAACATTCGCAGAGACCCGACCGTTGCTACCCACAACAAAGCTCTATGGGCGGCTGAACGCGAGAAGAAGTGAGGTCCCTTGGACGGATGTTGGGCCTGCTTGGGGTGTGTTTGACCATACCTGTCGTTGTGACCGCTATGATCAGCGCGACCGCCACGAGCGTTGTCGTCGCCATCACCACTGCCTCGACACAAGTGGCTGATAGGTTTTTAAAAATGGAAATTACCAGCGTTGAAGCAGCTGTTACCCTCGTCACCGCCGGCAGTAGCAGCAGACATTGTGTCGGTTGGAACTCGCCGCATCGCTGCTCCACAAAATCATCGACTGGTTCCCCGAGGTTCCATCGACCCCCGAGCAGAGATCTGCTGGTGATTTTTCTTTTCTTTAGTGGCTGTGGGTGTGGTATAGTTGGTTCAATAGGGGGTCAGAAAATGGACTGGGCGGGATAGCGCAAGTCCGGGTGATATTGCGGAAGCCGAAAAGCCGGCCGCGCGGTGATGGTGCCCGCGGTTGCTCCCCCGGCCGCTGCTGTTCCTGAACCTGCTGTGGCCCCTCCGGTCTCTCCGGCTCCCCAGACTCCGGGCGGTGGTGGCGGTGGGAACCGCAAGTTCACCAAGGCGCCCATTCGCGGCGCTACTTTTGCCTGGTGCTCCCGCTGCATGGCGGTCGGCGAGAGAGTTTCCTAACGCTCATGCGCCGCCGTCTGGAGGATGACGGCCTCCCGACTAGCGTTGCTGCCTTGCCGCGCGCTCAACACATGAGGGCTGGCGACTGGCAGACCAAGGGCTATCGCAAGATCTCCAAAAACGATGGCAATGCCCCCGTACTCATCTGAAGTCCCGAGAATTGCCACGGATTCGACGCGTCTCTTCAATCATATCAGAGGATCTCTCAGGGAAATTTATCTGTCGTTTCATCTTGTCTCCCTGCCAAATAATCTCTTCATCCCAAGCCATCGATACACCATCACCCCCGAGCCCGAGGCTGGTGAGGTCGCCGCCCCCGCCATTAATGCGTGTGACAGTTAGGTTCCATCGTGTTCTCCGCGAGAACAACCCTTTCCTTGAGCGTATGGCCCATAGCTCAACCGCCACCCGAGCTAGGAAGGTACATTGACATGGTCTATGAAATAGAGCACCAAACGATGGTCCTTCCTGCGAGAGTCAAGGAGATAAGAAATGCAACACCGGCAAGGGCTTCCCGTGAAGAGGCCGAGAGGATTCTCAACCAATTAATTGATCCCCTTTCAGAGGGCTCGTCAACAACTGCGGCCTAGGCCACAGTATCGCTCTTGCTGAGGGGGAGGAGAGGCAGAATCAGGGATCTCGTCTTTGGTCTTTGGTGAGCGCCGTGTTGATTTCTTAACAGCGGAATCCGGCTTTGTGGTGTTTGCTGCTCGCTTGGATGAAGGCCGAGTACTTTGACGGGTCGTAACCATCGCAACGGAGAAGGATGAGGATGATAAAAATAATGATGATAGTAGTGATATCGACAATGAGCCTTCGAGGACAGCCGGGACTCAGAGCCCAGCACGCCGAAGCAATGAAATACTCAGATTGACGACTGATTCCGAATCTTCCAGGCCCTATCGATCTTTATTAAGCGGCGAAATGGGAAAATCGCGACGGGGTCAAGTCGGAAACACCGCAATACCGACGACGCCTCTACCGGACCTATAGTGTTTCCTGCATCCGTCGACACACGCTTATTACCAAGCTCTGCGGTTAGAAGCACTCTCTCCAGTCGGAGATTGGAATCGAGCATGTTCGCAATGAGAACTTGCGGACGCTTCTAGCATACGAAGCTGCAAAGGTCGCGATGTCGCATGAGTTCAATCGCTACTCCTGGATGGCAGTCCCCCCTCGGTGTGTTGACGATTATTATACTGTCCCGTGCGGTTCGCGGCCAGGTTCGTGACGTCCCGCAGAACCTCCTGGTTGGTACTAGGCACCTGCTCGCAGATCGCAGAGTCTTCCATGAGCATCGAGTGACCGTGAATATCCTGTGCCAGGAATTGCATCAAACGAACTAGAGTCATGTTCAATGCCAGGGTCTTGTCCTCCTCGGACACCTTTGGCATGGCCAATTCATCGATTTCGTAGTCTGAGGGGTCGACTGTGACGTCCTTTAGTAGGCTGTCGGTATACGTAGCGACCTCATTTTCACGGGCTTTGTGGCCCAAATGGACGGACCAAACCTTCATTGGCGGTATCTCTGCCGAGGGATAGGACATGGTGCCATTCGGGAGCGTCAGCGGGGTCGTTATGCCGCGGTTGACAATAAGGACTTGCGTCTCTCGCATTATCTCGCCTGTGTTCGCCAGCGCGATTTTCCCGCCATCCACGATGGCCGCCTGTACCTCTGGGTGGAGGTACCACCATTTGTATCCCCAGGATCGGAAAATATCCTGGAGATGCAGATGGATTTCACCAGACACGCCGGGCTTCACAGGGCAATCTGGGTGGCCAGGTTCAAAGGAGCGCTGTTCGGATCGGTCACGCACACTCCTCCCTTATACGCCATTATTCTATGCATCAAGCGGGCTTTGAGGACAGCGAGGTCGGACAGGCCATTATCAAACATTTACCCATCTATGGACCGATGTTTGTCGACTGCGTTTTTAAGGATATTACCGACGATACTATCCTTACGGTCGAGGCAGCTAGAGAAAGAGTCCGAGGGTGCCACCACCAGTTCCGACATAGATGCCATCATCAAGTATGAATGGGAGGAGGAAGAGAGACGTGGTTTTATGACCGACCTGGCCAGCGCACCTATTGGATCTTCAAAGGAAGAACAACGGAAAATATTGGCCACTCAGATCAAGAATCAAAGTCAACGCAGATCTCAGAATGCCAGTGGTCGACAAAGGCCAGGTGGATCAGAAAGGAGATAGCCCGGCTTTCACAACCTTGACACCGTCCGTCCATAGAGAACTCTCAGAAATCCCAGAGCAGCCGGCGGCGAATGACTACTTCAGTCTTCACCTTTGTCCACCGAGAGACACAGGAACTCGCTATGCCCAATGGGAAAGAACGAGACAAGCTTTGTAAACAGACGGAAGGTTCCGGGTCAGACCTTGGCCTATGTCGGCTTCACTGACAACGCGTTCGTGTGGTCCGAGAGGGTTCGGTGCCGGGTCGCTGGAGGAGACGAAAGACTTTATGCAGTGCTTCATTACCGCTCATGAGTCCATGAACTTGGACAAGTCTTTGGGACGAACTGTCACGGTTCCGTCTCGCTTCACCACGTATACCGATCGCGCTCTCTCTGGCAGTGTGACCGTTGACTTCTTCTTGGTGCCAATGTCTGAGATCTCAACTGACGCCCATGCCTGGGTGCCGGAGAGCGAAAGATGGCCGCAAAAATAAAGACGACCGCAACAAACCTCAAGGTGCGGACGAAATCATCCAGGGCCATCCGACTTGTTGGACAACCAAAAGCTCAACATGTCCAGCCAAAGGATCCCTCCTTACCACCACGCGGCCCTTGCATCAAATGCCTTACGCTCAACAATAATGGGTTTTTCGCCGAATGTGTCTCAGGCGGAAAATCCGTCAACCAAGGCGCCTGCTTTAATTGTTACTACGAGGGTGAAGGCTTGGCCGTAGTAATACAGGCAAAACCGCCAACATCAAAGATATGACGCGCGACACCAACGGCTGCATGGTTTTCAACGCCAACACCAGATCGCGTGCGGCCGCCGAAGAGTACGTTATCATCGACTTTGGCAATGGAATCCTCGTACAATGCTCCCGACAGTTTACAAACTTCCTAGAAGCTTCAATTTCAGCAGGAGTGATGGACAGGGTACCTGAGATAATATGTGCTTTGGGTGCAATGACTAGAGGTACCTAGCTGCTGGAGTTATCATCTTTGAAAGCTGCATTCCAGCATGTGTCTTCGGATGTGGAATAGGTTGTCGTGGTCTGGTACGCCTTTGTCTCTTCCTCCTACCATGCATTTTCTCCCCCTCATTCTGTTCCCATTGCTGCGTATCTTCTTGCGATGGCTTGCCATAGCATTAAACAGAATCGAGCAGCCAAAACCATCCCCACACCCAAAATCTTCCTGCGCTCATCGCTCACCCGGTGGTGAAAAATTGTGCAATCACCACAGCTATCACATGCTCATATGCAGTCCTCGTAGACTCCAAGTCAAAATAAAAAAGGGGGTTCGTTCGCTCTTTTCTCGCTCGCCTTTACCGTTCGCTCCTTTCCCGTCAGCTCCATGTAAACGCTCCAAACCATACTCCTCCACTATACCATCCTCCTCAACTATCTCTAAAATACCACTCCCTACATCTTCCTCGCCACCCAAAGTCCCGAAACTTCATCATGTCTGCTAATCACGGCCGACTCCTGATCAGGCTGATCTTCTCCAGCCCTACACCAACGACACCACACCTCTTCCCGTCTCGTATGTGATGGGGTGAATTGGAATTGTATGGGCCGGGTCGAGATCGCGCCACTACAATGGCTTGTTCGTACCTGCCTGGAAATAGGGATGGTTACCCATCGGAAGCAAGCAGCTCTGAGTTGTATATAGGGCTCGGGTTTGCTGGTGCGAGAGGGTTCGGAGGGGTCCTACTAGACATCGAGATTCGAATCGTAAATGTACTCGGGGCGGAGATGGTCATCGTCCCGAGTATGACCTATTCTTCTCGAGGAATACCAAGAGCAACAAAGTAGAGCACAAGTTGGCGGTCACGGCTCGGCTCGGCTCGGCTCGGTATGGTATGGCTCGATAGGTCTTTAAGATTAGTGCGACGATGCTGTGATGTGGGAAACAGCATATTTTGATCCCACTAGACACTGTAAAGTCCGTAGGGACTCAGTGACCGGTACATTGCCGGCGGGCATTGCGATCTAGACGGTAGCGCTACTCTCGCTCCTGAAGAAGCTATTGGTGTTAGTGCAGTGAGTCATGTATGGGATGTCAGGCGGAGCAGGCTGACTGTTGAGAGACATAGCGGGTTGAGTTATCTGAGGACAGGTAGTAAACAAAGTAAATAACTTAGGGCTGGATTTATATACTATTATGCCCTAGGTAGTTCATCGCCTGAAGAAGTGTTGGAATGGCCAAGGCGGAAGTCCAGACCCGCATTTTGCTAGTGAGGTTTGGCCTCCTCACTTTCAATAGAGCCAGAAGCGTTGTCGGCGTCGTATATTGTGGGTGCTTTTGGTGCGTATATATGGGATGATGAGAAGGCGGTGTCACAGCCACATGTTGGCCGGCTCTATTCGTACACAAGGATATCAATCGTGGAGAAAGAGCGTCTTGATGGGTTGGGTGCCGTGACCTAGGTTTTGTGGGGGTTTGGACTGCTTTTGGATTATTTTGGGAACTTGGTAAAATTGAATGGCCCTTGTCGCAAGATCTTCAGTCAAGTTGCCTGGCCAGGTAGCCCAGGTGATGGAGTTAGGGGATCATTATGTGGTAGATCGTGGGCCTTTTATACATACCCATCCAGGCCACAAAGCATTAGTGGGGCGTGGTCATTTCGTCGTCAGAACATGACTGCTTCTCTCCCAGGCGACCATCGTCATCCAGCATTGCTGCCGCAAACAGAAGAAACAAGAAATAGAGAAGGGAAGGCCAGACTCATATTGAGCCAAGCAGTATCATATTGCCTAAGTGTATATCCATCTTTGTAGTATGTTCAAATATCTTTTCCACACCAATATAGGTCTCCATTAGAACCAGTTGATGGCCAACGCACCGGACGCACCTGTTTCTTGCACATCTTCATCATCATCACCCCTTCTCTTTGATATCTTGGCAGGTTTTTAACATTGTTCGTCCGGTGCTTTCTTTCACGCACCAGTATAACAATCACCATATGCCGTTCGTTGAGAGCGGAGGCTACACTAGGCACCAGACCTGTGACTGTCACCATCACACTGACTGTGCGCGTACGTAACCCGGCGATGTACAATTTTCCTGTGACACATGTTGGGTCAGCTGGTGTTTGCCATGATGGGGGAGAGGAGGACGTACGTCATGCCCATAAGCCCAACCTTTCTGTTGGGCACGGTGATCCCCGAGACTGAATCAACAGCTCAGGGACCGCCTTCGTTTGCAAAATTGTTTTTGTCATCGGATTTAAAGCTCCTTCTTGCCAGTACCGGCAGCCTTGGCCCTCTCGCGGTCGCGCTTGGCATAGATCTCGGCAGTGAAGGGGTTCTCGAATTGGATAGCGATGATGTAGACGAAGAGAACCCAGGCGGTCAAAAGAAGACCGGCGGGCTTGCCGTACAAGAGAGCGGTGCCGAGGAAGCTCATGGTGGAGCCGTAGTACATGGGAGCGCTGGTGACGTTGAAGGGGAAGCCGGTGACAATGCCATCCATCAGAATGCCAAAGTAGTCACCAAGGAAGGTTCCCGTGATACCCAGACGCAGTGTAGAGGTGATGACGAGGAGGTTGCCGAGGGCAAGGAGGGCATAGGCGGCGTATTTGACATAGGTGCCCTCGAGAAGCGGGTGGGAGGGCTGGTCACGGAGAGCGCGTTCGTAGAGGAAGTCGCGGACAAGACCGAGGCCGAAGATGGTGACGGCCAGGAAGTAGCAGGCTACCTGGGCATTGCCGCCGAAAGCGCGCGTGAGGAACTTGGTGCGGTATTCTGTGGAGATGTGTTAGGAGGTCTTGTTATCGAGCGTTGGGTCGTTGAGCTGGTGGGATTTGCGCGGACGAACCTCTGCGGGCAACAATGCTAGGGAGGGGTTAGCCGATGTCGCGATCAGGTCGAGGGCACACAATACTCACTTCCAGAAGGTGGGGTTAAAGGCAATGGCAGCAGCAGAGACTGGCGCAATGTGGTTAGCAGGATGGATCGAGAACGGGAAATGACATGTGAATGGTGGCGGAGTCGCATACTGGCGAGGCTTGTCTTGCTGTAGTCAACAAAGTTGAACAGGTCGGCGACACCTAGGGCGACGAGAGGCATGTTGGCGATGATTTGGCGATGATCTGGGGGAGAGGTGCTCGTTTGTTCGTTGGTGGTTGTACTGTCGACAATTCGAGAGGGAAAAGAAAGCGGGAGGAGGACAGACTTAAGTTGGTAAACTCCAATAAAATGTTGAGAGACCAAGACTTCTCGGCATCATGGAAAGCATCGGATACGCTGGCTTTGGAATCGAAGTTTCCATGGGCAGACAAGTTCAGTTGAGTTTCACGTGTCAATTCGACGGGCAACAATGACGCTATCGCCCAACATTTCTCCAGCTTGCTGTGGAGCCACCTCTAGGTACCCCCCGGTTGTTACACCTTAGTGACCGCTTTAGCGCAATATTGTGGGCCTGTCGCTTGCTGACAGCGCCCAGTGACCTGTAGGAGCGCTCCAAACCCCGGCCATAGGGCCATTGGGATCCACTTGTTCGGAAGCTACCCCTCCTCTTCGCGATTGAGAAGAGCTCATTTCCACTTTGGTCCTTCTCATGAAACGCGATGCAACCACCACCAAGACGACGAGACCGGGATTCTTGAGACCACATTGCAGCTGGCTGCTTCATCAATTCTCCTGAGGTGTCTTTATCACCATGAGTGCTTCGTTCAATTCATGACTTCACTTTTTCTCATTCATTTATGACCTTTGAGATCTGACATCCCACATCATGCCCCCCAAAGCAACAAAAAGGGGCAAAGCCTCCAAGGCCACCACCACCACCCCCGAAGAATCAGAACCAAAAACAACAGCAACATCCGCCCCTGACCTCCTCACCAAATCCAAAGAAGCCTACGAGCAGGAACTCAAAGACCTCGCCAAAAAGGCCCGCTCCCAAAAGGGCTACTGGGCCGGTCAGTTCGCCATCTACACCCACACCTTCATCCTGCTCGCCCTCATCGCCATCGCCTCCAACGTCTCCCAGCTCGTTCTCTCACCCGTCTACGGTTCCATCCCCGCGGCGATATGGCATTCCAAGCTGGTCATGGCCGGCTGCTTCACCGGCTGGGCCTCCAACATCTTCTTGGATCGCGCTTTACCCATTGAGCCTGTCGAGCTTCTCCCTCTGATCGCCATGTACATCCCACCTGTTCAATACCTCCTTTTCAAGGCCAGTGGGTACATGGGCGCTTACTATGGCCCGTTGGTCACAGAGCTGTTGACGCTGTTCCCTCTGATCACCATCTCCTCGGCCTGCGTCGCGACGAATCTGGAGTATGCCGACTTTGGACCGCTGCCCAAGGCCATTGCTGAGGCGGTGCCTGGTCTGGGCTCGTTCGGCTTCTTCAAAGCGGCAGAGAAGTTGAGCGGGGACTTCATTGTGCAGAACATCGGCAAGAACTTTTACATGACCAGGATCGGACTGGAGGGCTTGTTGGCTGCTTCCTACACGACCATTGCGCCGTCCAAGTTCTTGTTGTTGGGGGTGCCTGCGTTGTTGCACACTACGCTTTTGAACCCGCATCTGGCCTCGCCTATGGCGCTTTCTAGGTTGAACAGCGGGCTGGAGAAGGAGGGATGGCATGTGCTGGACCGCCGAGACTCAATCACGGGATATATTTCAGTAGTGGACAGTCTGAATGATGGGTTCCGGGTATTGAGGTGTGACCACAGTCTGCTTGGTGGCGAGTGGGTCAAGTTCAAGGACACTCCTCGGTTCAAGGGGAACCAGGTTGCTGAGCCTATCTATGGTGTCTTTGCCATGTTGGAGGCCGTGAGGTTGGTCGAAGTGCCTAATCCAGTTCCTGACAACGAAGCCAAGGCCCTCGTGATGTGAGTCCTTCCCCATCTTATCGTCTCAAGATAGCCACTAATATATTCCAGCGGCCTCGGCATCGGCACCACCCCCGCCGCTCTCGTCGCCCACGGCATCAACACCACCGTTGTCGAAATCGACCCTGTCGTCCACGAGTTCGCCTCCAAGTACTTCCAGCTTCCGTCCAACCACACCGCCGTCATCGAAGACGCCGTAAGCTACACCGACCGTCTCGTCAACGAAACTCAAGGTGTCGGTCAATATGACTACATCATCCACGACGTCTTCACCGGCGGCGCTGAGCCTGTCGCTCTCTTCACTTATGAATTCCTCCAAAACTTGCACTCCCTTCTCAAGCCAAACGGCGTCATCGCCATCGTACGTCACCCCTCTCCTCCTCTTTCTCTTTCTATAACCACAACTAACATCATAACCAGAACTACGCAGGCGACTTCTCCCACCCCCCACCCCTCCTCATCACCAACACCATCCGCTCCGTTTTCGGTTCTGGTTCATCCTGCCGCATCTTCCGCGAACACCCTCGCGACGAAGCCCAAGCCGCCGCCCACAACGGCCGCGACTTTACCAACATGGTCTTTTTCTGCACCAAGGCTTCTACTCCCACTCAGGGAATTTCTTTCAGGAACCCAACCCCCCGCGACATCCTCAACAGTCCCAGCCGCGAAGCCTTCCTACTCCCCAAGTTTGAGGTGACAGACGACGATCTCCTCAGAGCTGTCCATGGAAATGTACAAGAGGCGCAAAAGCTGGGTATCCTAAGGAAAAACGAAACGGCCGTGTTGGAAAAGTGGCAGACGGAAAGCGCACTGGGACACTGGGAGATTATGAGGGGGGTATTACCTGAGGTTGTGTGGGTTAATTGGTAGTTTTTTCGATCTAAATGGTTCGAGTGAGGGATGGGGCGTTGGGAAGAAAGAAACAAAAAAAGAAAGAATGGAAGGAAAGAAAGAAAGAAAGAAAGAAAGAAAGAAAAGAAAAGAACGAAAGAAGGAAAGAAGAGATCGGGATTCGAGTATATGTCAATAGGAGGAAGGAAAACGAATATGTGTCGTTATTTCTTGTACAAGAATCATGTCCTGGTTGTGTATTTATGGGGTTTTCTGTTGATATTTACTTGTCTTTTTTTTTTTTTTTTTTTTTGGAGACTTTACATTGAACGGTTGGATAGGTACTGTGTGAATTGGGCCTGTGGCGGTTCATTATTTGGTAGGTATTTTTCCCCGGTCGTTGCGGTTTTCTTCTTGGTTCTTAGATCCCTTCCTTCATAAGCGCTTCAGTTACTTTCAGTACCTGGACAAGACAAGCACATATCTATTAACGGCTGACGGCTAGGTCTGAATGATAGGACAAAAGGGGTATGTACGATAAGATAAGACAAGGAGACAGGGGTAATAAGACGACTGACCGCCCAGTGATTGTTTACTTCGTTCACTACGACGGTATTCTTTTCTTTTCAGGGGCACCTTCATCATCAACTTACCTAGTTCAATACACTGCTCCCGGAAATAAGGTTAACGATGCTTTTCGCTGCTCCCTCATCTCTACATGTTTATTTCCTACACATTGCACAGACATTCACGGGAAAAAAGAGAAGATATGGTGGTAATTTATTTGATATAGAGAAATGGAGTGGAGATTAATGAAGAAGTCTACCTAGACGGTATCTAGCCAAACTTTTGAAAAGATGAGCGACCCGCGCACAATCTTTTCTTCAGGCCTGATCCAAGCGAGCCGCATTCAAGCCCCGCGACGCCCAACCGATAGTCCTCCCTCACTTCTTTCCCTCCTTATCATTCTCAAGCGGCGTGTTCAACCCCAAGCGCTCCCGCGTCGTGTATTGCACAATGCCGCCATTGCGGTCCACCTCGGTGACGAGCTCCTTGCGGCTGGTGTCAACCAAGAGACGAATCAGGTCCGGCCGCATGTAGTGTCCAGCAAAGTCGGCCAGCGCCTTGGTCAAGTGGCACTCGTTGAGGTCGATCTGTACAATATTAATGTTAGTATCTCTTTTTGCCTCCAAAAAAAAAACAACCGAATGGAGTGAATGAAACGTACATCGACAAACAACAGTCCGTCAAAGTCCTTGTCTGGCTTGACGACAAGAGTGCCGTCCGGCCTGTAAATGCGCGCATGGCCGTTATACGTCGACGGGTCCGTCTCGGGTTCGACTCCCTCGGGCGTGTTCTTCTTGAGGCCCTCCACACTCAACCGCTGGAAGGGCGCCAGCGTCCAGGTACCCGTCTCAATGGCATAGGCAGGCGTCACGAGGTCGGACGCCGGGTCGGCCACGTTGGTCGCAGGGTCGGGGTACTTGAGCGTCTCCTTGCCGGGATAGATGGGCCACGCGGCGATGTGGATCTGTTCGCCCATCGAGACGTTGAGCGACTTGAGGAAGGGGTTCATGTTCTCCCAGCAATTAAGCTGACCGAGGCGACCGAGCTCGGTCGGGGTGACCGACATGAACGTGTCACCCGCGCCGTCGCCGTAGACGAGCTTCTCGACATGGGTGGGCTTGATCTTGCGGCGGTGGTTGATGACCTCGCCAGTGGGATCGATCAGAGCTTGCGCCAGGTAAAGGGTGGCGTGGTCAATTTCGGCGAAGCCGAGCGAGACATAACTGTGCAAGTGCTGTGTTAGCACTCAATCATCGAGGTTGGGGCTGGTGACCGGATAACACATACATCTGGTTGTCCCTAGCAGCCCTTCTGATACGACGGAACTCGTCCGAGTCAACGGCCATCGCGTTCTCGCGGTACTTCTTCAGCATAGGCAGCGACTGCTGGTAGGTGACCTTCCACATCCAGTATGGATAGCCGGGGATCCATACTTCGGGAAAGGCAACGAGCTTGCAGCCGGCCTGACCCGCTTCGTTGATGAAGTCGATCGTCTTGCGAACGCCTCCCTCGAGATCGAACCAGCAGGGCTCAGAAGTAACCTATTTTGGCGTCAGGATAGATAGTCGACTGAGGCATTCTTGCTTTGACATACCGCTGCGGCCTTGTACTTGGTAAGGACCATGTTGGGCGATTGATAGAGTTGTGTTGGCGAGATGGATGTTGGTGAGTGAGGACTTGAGGATGTGTGATCGATGATGATCGAATCTCTTGAGGAATCGCGCCCCTTTATATACCCGGATGGTATGTCTGTGTTGCCAGGCTCATCCATCATGACACAGTTTCAGTGGGTCGCGTTCGTAGAGTGAATTCCTACTCGTATTGCACAGACACACACCGAGGGGCCGGAGCTGATTCGGAATGTTCGAGTAGTTTGTCTGACGTTTTCTTCGCTTGTTATAGACCCGTCTAGACATAACCCCCGTACTCCGGATGTTCCCGAGCTGTGGATGAGGTGAGGCCCAAAAATGTTGAGAGTTGGGAATGGCATCGTTCGGATAGCAGCTGCACTTGGCACACCGGCAGAGTCACCAATTGGCCGACCGCTCAGATTCTTTCCTTCAACTGGTTGTGGCGAGTGTCCGACCACACCCGACATTTGAAACGCTCCCCGGCCTCCCCCCCGGCTCCGCACCGGCCCCACCCCGACAGCCTCCGAGTGCCCAGTCGGCACAATCTCCTTCTCACGAGCTCTGCAAACCCGCCTTTGGGTATCACCGTTGCATTGAGCCGGAGGCCTTGAAGGTCACTGTCCGTTGGGTACAGGTACCTACAGTCAGAGCATCGAGGTGCACAGACCTTCACAACTCGCCATGGCATCGATCCAAGCGCCAAGCAAGCACCTCTCCATTGACTCAGTAGTAGCAACCCATTGGCTCACCTTGAACATAGGACGAGAGCCGTCTGATCTTTTTCCCTTTGTGCAATGAAATGTCTTTCTCAAGTCCTTGCTATGTTGGTAGGATGACTGAGAGATGGAGCATGCCCGTCTTTCTAAGAAGCAGAAAGCTGCTCTGTTCCTCTCTACAAAAAGAGGCAAACCATTGAAAGAATAAAGATGATGTACTTTGAAGTGATCCTCCAATTCCTTGCCCCAAACAAAGGTCGGCCTGTTCTTCCCTGCAAAGGAACCCCATGTACAAGTAACCTCTGCTCGATCACTTCGATCTTGCCCTCGTCATATTCTCTGTTTGGGTAGCATTGCGACAACGAGCACGACCCACATGAAGAGTATATACCGGATGTCTTGTTGGGAATCTCCTTCTCAATATCTGGGTTCGCGACCGTCAGATTGTCGTGGACGTGTGTGGCAATATCCTTGTAAAGTCCGGTCCTGGTTTCTATCACAAACTCCTGATATTTTGCCATAGCAATATGTGGACAATGGCCGCCCGATAGTCTGAAGAAATCCAAACGTTGGTCCCAGAACGAAGGTAAGTGATAGTTGTTCGAAAAATTCTATGTGTCGAACCTGCAAGTTCCTGCATTCATCCAAGGGATCGGTGAAATTGAGGAGTAGTGGCCTTTTTCCGAACTTGCATCCAGATACAGTTTCACTCGGAAGGAAGCGATTCCGTCAGTCCAAACTCGCGCCACTTCCATCTTTGGTGGAGTCGGGTTTTCGGGTGGAAAAGGGGAAGAAAGCGCGGATATGTCGGCTCCTCTTTGTTGACATGTTCGCACATCAAAGAGCGTAGCATGCCGAGGAGTGTCTTTTCCAAGGAATCGCCCTGAGCGTGGTAGAAGTGGGTAACAATGGTACGGCCCTTGGAGTGCCAACTGGCAGTGTCGCCAAATACCTTTATGCCTCATCAGCGCCGATTTTGTGGTTCATGGATGGCCTTTGATCTGATAACTTCATTGTGTTTTGGCTGCTCGTATAGTAGAAAAGAGCCCAATAAGGAAGTGAGGCATTGACAGAACGGAATCATGAGGTGGATAATATTGTCCAACTGGTTGGCTAATCGAAAGTCCAAAGGTGTAGTGTCGCCAAACCTTTGGTACCTTACCCAGAAGACTGATTCCCAACCAAAGTCCATATCAAAGCTGCGCGACGTGCATGGCGGACATGCCAACGAAATGTGCACCTTAATCGCAGGTGTATCCTTCGATGCTCAATGAGCACTACCGGTTGATGCCCATAGTCGAGTTTGGCTTGGCTACCATCCACTTGCGCCATTGGTAGGTAGTATGACGATAACCTCCGAGGAAAAATGGATGCAGCCCAAGCTGCAAGTGAGATGTCACTCACCCAAATTGAAGTCAATGTTCCTTCGAAAAAGGTCTTAATCAAATTGGGCCAATAGGAAGACTCAACAGAAAGACTGCGTATCAGAGATGGAGGCATTGTCTGGTCTGTATGCCCTCCATATTTCCCATCATGGTGGGCGGAAGTATGTGAAACCACCAATTTGACAACGCGAATGGCACAATGCTCACGCTTGGAGCAAAGGGTGACAGAGCTGGGTTTTAGCCTAAGTACCTCTGTCAACCTTGGTCATTGCCTCTACCATCCCGAGTAAACGTTAGAATCGCAAGCACCTTCTCTGGTTCTTGGTTTATCTTTGCAAGTTGAGACAGTGTTGTTCGTCTCGGATAGGCGCATTCGATGTCAACATTTGCCCACATGAATCCCTCAAATGACACTTCTCAGTACCCGGTCGCTCACCGCTGCGGTCGGAATGCTAAGGACCCCACAACAATGGAAGTACCACTACCCGGCGACCATGCCGAATACCACGTGGGGCGTATAGGCCGGCATCTCGTCGTGAGGGCCGGGTGCCCCCGCATCGGGATCGACTGAAACCAGCCGCCGGCCCACCACGGCTCTCGGGCCGACATGCGCCGCTCATATTTCAACACCAAGCATGTCCCGGTAGTCGGCATATCTGGTAGGGCGCCCGGTTAGGTATGATCCGGATTTGGTCCGGATTTGCAGGAACCAATCGTCTTGGGCAACGTCGTCGTCGTTGGCGTCCCCCAATCTGGGGGTGTGACTTATTACGACCTTGGCGCGTGGCAGGGCAGCGAAGAAATGACTGTCGAGGGACATACGCTTCATCCGTTTGCTGCTCTTCTCACCACGGGGAACAATTTGCGAAGCGCGCATAGGCTGGTGGCAGGAAACAGGATTCCGCAGTACCTGCATGCGATGCGCATGGGCTTGAATAATCGAGCACAAATAAGGTTGAATCTCGAGTGAGGCACAACTTCATCTGTCCTGAGGTGAAAGCGGCCGGCGTAACAAGTGACTACCAAGGGTTGGTGAACCAGGGAGTGAAATTCGCGATTATGCGGACTTACTCAAGGAGAAGAAATGGCAGAAATATGCTGCGGCAACCGCGGCGGCATTCGCAGAGGAGCTTATCTTACCGCCCCTGTCAGGTGAAAGAAGAAAAAAGACACGGCGGCGGAGTCATGTGCTTTCGGTAACAGGAATGGCAACTCTCCGTGTAGAAATTGATGGGAATCGGATTGGTGAACTCCAAGACAGGATCGGGGGATTAAGAAAAACAACAATGCCGCCGGCAACAAATATGATATGGCATCCGGGCATGCCTTCCCGGAAGGGTCTACTAGGTCCAATCAGGGGAAGATGATGTCAGTCGGGTGTCGGGGGTTCAAGAGTGACTGTCGAATAAACATACCGCCGCCGAGTGGTGTCAAAAGTTCAGAAAAATGAAACATTGTCTCCGGATTCATCGGAAATCCACCCAAGAACACCATACTGTGAAGTCCATGCTCGTCATCAGAAACAGGCACCGGCTTTGGCTCATTGGTAAGCCGGCTGGTGAATACAGGTGTGTATGTTGAGTCGGAATCGAGAAGGGAGCGTCGTTCAGGAGTTCGAGGTTGATAGCCGGGTAGAGATAGCGTAGATTTCTTGTAACCTCCTATCAGGGCAGTCTAGACCGACTGACTGACTAACTGGGGGCTTTCCACGATAGGGCTATGGAGCTACAGACCGTGAGTTTACATTACTACGACAACTAGATCAACTTCAATTTGAGACCTACTGCGCGACGGATTTCTGTCTGGGTCCTGCAAACGTCTTTAGATGTCATTGACTGGGACGACCCCTCCGCCGATAAAAAGCTTGCCCGTTGCTTTCGCGCTGTAGGGTTTTGCGGCTAGCAGAAGTCTTGGTTGGTGAAGAAATGATGGATTTCGGAATTGACGGAATAGCTTTTTTTGTCGCGCGACAGGACTCGAGGCGGCGATGGTGATCTCGATGTGGTGTTGGCTGGGTGTAAATGACGGAGAAGATGATGGTGAAGACTGGGAAGGAGAGAGGTAAAATGAGTGGTGCTGGACGCGGGGCATGGCATGTTTCCAACCTACGCCGATGTCGGCAGTCGTTTGGTGATCATCGAATGATGTTGGTAGTGCCTTCCGTGACCTGTTTGACGCAAGGGAATTGACCCCTCCAAAGGAATTAACTTTTCATTGTTCCCGGCAATCTGCATACATTCCATGTTGCTTCTTTTGCTGAATGACCGGCCCCTTTTCCTACCATCAGGTAATATCAATCAAGAGGCCGCCTTCTTGACAATAACCTCCCCATTAACAATCCCCAACGTCGCATCCCCCCTCTCCATCCACTCCCGCCACCCCTTGACCATCTCCTCTATGTCTTCCTCCGTCGTCAACCCAACCTCAATCCCTCGCTGCCTCATCTGCCCCGTCCTCAACCTCTCAATCATCGCCTCCCCCCACGCCTTTCTGTCCCCCGGCTCACTATAACACCACGTCCCAAACCCAGCCTCGATATCCTTTCGGTCAACCCCAGCTTCCATGATCCACGACACCAACTTCCTCCCGCCCTTATCCTGCCCACCATTCGCCAACATGACATTGACCATTAACTCATGAAACTTGAGTAAGGACGGAAGTTCAGGCCAAAAACACCACATGTGCATATCCGACTCGCGCAAAGAGATCAGTCCCCCCGGTTTGCAAACCCTGAGCATCTCCTTGACGGCGGCAACGGGGTCGTCAAGATGACAGAGCACCTGGTGGGCATGGACAATGTCGAACTCGTTGTCGGGGAAGGATAATTCGTAAACGGATTCTTTCTGGAAGGAAATGTTTTGTGGGACTGAGAGGCCCTGTGAGATGGCGTGCTCCTTGGCTCGCTCGAGGACGTCGTCGGCGATGTCGGTTGCGAGGACGTGGCCAGAGGGAAGGAGGTGTTGGGCCAGAGAAGCCGAGATGGTGCCGGGCCCGCAGCCGATGTCGAGGAGTTTGAGGTTGGGGTTGGAGGAGAGGGCCTTTGGGAGATGCGGGAGGAGGTGGGGGGCGCTGTTGGCGGCGGTGCGCCATTCGTGGTGCTTGGTGTGGGAGGGCGCGTGCCCGATGGCGTAGGGGGTGTGTTGGGTGGTCATTTTGAGGATGTTAATTCTCCGTGTGTTGTATGTCGATGTCGCTGTGGAATCGTGCAGTGTCCTGACATCGGGGGTGTTGTTGATTTAAGTCCGTAAGTTCGGAGCCGAATCGGAAGGGTGATGTCACTAGCTGCTTCTAAAAATAGCAAAGACGGATGCCACCGGCTGGAATATCCCCGTAATGTCCTTTTTATATCCGCAACATGACCGTTCAGCATCGTCACCGCCTCCTCCAACCCCTTCAAGATGCCATAACTGGCAACCGAATTCCTCAACAATTGCCTGATACGAGTTTCTAACCTCCTCCCCTAACATATTGGGAGCCACGCATACGTTATCCAATATCGGTCTGATCGTCTCCACCGCCTTCCTTGAATACCCAACGAGCTCGTATAGTCAACCGCTTGGGCGATCGTCATTAAACATCCCATTGCCATCAACTACTGAGCAAACGGAATGGACTCGTTTGCATTTCTTCGCGCTGGATTTACGTGTCGCGAGTGGCGGCGTAGGTGAGGAGAGTGGTGTGGAAGGAGGTGGCACTTGGGGGGGTAGGGGTTGGAATTGAAGATTCGGGGCCAGCAAGGGTGGCGAGATCAAAGCCCGGGGGAGGTTGGATGGATTCCTTTGCAGATGGTGAGGTGAGATGAGGTCGACAATTTGGGTTCGGATTCGGTTTTCAGGCGCTTGCAAGGGCGCGGATCCGTGTGGGGGTTCGTTATGGTGCAGTGTTGTTGGTTGGTGGTTTGGTGGATTGATTGTTGTTGTTCGGAAAAACATTTGGGGAAAAAAAAGGGTTGAAGTTAAGTCAAATGCTGGACTTCTGGACTTGGGTGTGTCCTGTGGTGTACCCGCTTGGAAGCCAAAACTTTCCTCTTTTCAGATGAGAGAAAGCGTCGAGGGAACTTCCTGTGGAGCGGTTGAATGGAGGGTCTGAAAGGACTTGGGTAAGAACTACCTTAGGTGAAGGTTTGGGGTGTCTGTGAACGGTGTAAACGTTACTAGCAGCCCCAAGCAACTGCCTTGGATGCCTATCGTGGGATTACTTGTGAGAGAGCTGGCTGGCTTTCGTAACCAATTTCGGCCATGGGGAGGAGGTAGGTAGCTCTGGAGATGGTTTGACGAAGAAAAACTCGTCTTCATGGGCTTCAAAAAGTTTGCGATTGAGTGTGAGCCTGATTGTGATCTGGAAGCCGATTGACCACTGTGGATCAGTCTGGGAATTTCTATGGCGCTTCTTACTTGCATCCTCGAAGTGCCTCAACCTCGTTTGGCTTTGGCCTATTTGAGCAAGATGAGGTTGAGATTCCTGGATCATAGGTTATTTGTTCCGTCACATCGCAGCCAGGCTGAGCCACGTCACCCCTCACGCATGCCAAGACTTTTCGATAGACAGTGGTCATCCTCAACTTGGGCTGAGTGACCATAATCCAATCAAAGGACTTCCTCTACTACCTGCCTGACAGGATCGAGAACCGGCCATGGCTGTGGTTGGGTGGCAGGGCTAAAAGGTTGGGCTGAGTCTCGACAGGTAGGTCCACAACACGTGGAAGTCTCCGACCAGATACGTTCCTTCTTCATAAACATTTTCTCGTCATTTGGGGTTCTCCTTCATTTTAATTCATTATCTACCTGACAGTTGATGTGGAAGGAACAACGAATGCGCTTGCGCGAACGGCACAAGACCGAGTTTCTTCCATTTGCTGTCTGCAAACCCACTTCATCGGCCGCAGGGACATCGACGGTAACAGCTACTCCAATCCGGACAACTCACTTCCCAGTCCAAAAAACAGTCCGACGTCGCCAACAATGTTCACCTACAGCCCTTTGAGCCGCGAAAAGCGCGAGACTCGTGTCTTCCGATTTAGTCCTCCCCTCCAGTTAGGCTCCGACCGTATCAGTCTTGAACTTCGCCATGCCTCTCTTGACGATGACGCCCTCCAATATCGGGCGCTGTCATACGTATGGGGAGATACTAAGGAGAAAGAAGATATCGACGTCAACGGCGAACAGTTTTCTGTCGGCGCGAATCTTCATGCACTGCTGCAGATGCTTCAATACCACGACGTGCAATCCTGGCTCTGGGCCGACGCCATATATATCCACCAATCCGACGATAATAAAAAGAGTTGGCATGTCCAGAGCATGTATAACATCTTCAAGAACGCCGAGTTTATTTACTCTTGGCTGGGTCCCGGCTCTAAGGCAACTGATGTGGCTATGAACTTCTTTTCGGACTGGGGCCCTCGTGCGTTGAAGGTTGGTGTGATGGAGGAGCTGTGGCCTACGCATCTCCCTACGGAGGCACCTTTAGAGTCTAGTATCGACGTCCCAGAATTCATTTATCTTTCTAAAATTAGATATTACTTTCTCCCGGAGCCGGTATTTGAGAAGGTAAGTACGGTTGTGGATGCTTCGAGTACGAGTGATAAGTGGTATGATTTGGCGAGGTTTCTTTGCGATTTGCTTTGTGTTGAAGGGCTACGCGGGACCCGTGGGAAGTCCGTCTTGAGTGATCTAGAAATTGGTATTACTCACCTATTGATAAATGAGTACTGGTACCGGATATGGATATTCTAGGAGGTGGCCCTGGCCCGAGAAGTCCTTCTTATGTGCGGAGGAAAGTTCACACCGATTTTATACTTCGAACCGGTGTTAGAAGACCTCTGGAAATTTTGCGATGGAAACCCTTGGTTCTTTAAAGATATTCTACTGCGGCACAGCTTCTGTGAGCGGTTCCCTCCTTATCTTTACCCAAACAAGGCTATACTCGTTCGTCAATTAATCCGCCGCGGAACGAAAATAGGCTTGGGCACTATTCTTATGGCTTTCTCCAACGAAACCGAGCGTCCATGGTATCGCGCGACTGACCCACGCGATATCGTCTATGGCATACTCGGCCTTCTTTCCCACGATGACCGTCGTCCGTTTGGCTATGTTGATTATAAAAATATGACATGGGTTGATCTCTTTACTCAGGCCACGCGATCTTTGATTGAGGCGTCTCTCACATCATGCTACAAAGATCGATTGTACACTATCGGACATTGTCTGCCCCGTCCAAGAGGCCAACCAACCGAGTTACCCAGCTGGGTCCCCGACTGGCGGGATGTAGGTGTGAGAGGGCTTCCGCAAAGCTTACTAGCCGCATCTGGCGTAGTCCTCAACGCCAGCAATAGCCGGATATGGATGGGGTGCCCTTACCCTATCTTCTTTGGACCTGGGAATCCGTCGGCCATTCGATTGCCAGGGTATCGCGTTGACACGGTCACCGAAGTGATGGAGCATGACCACCAGGCTCATAATGTTCTTGAAAAGGATCGAGCAAGCGACTGGCTGGCACGCATTCGCGATTTTACCAAGTTGCCGGAGAGCTCCGATGTACAGAACATAGAGGGAGAAGACTACGTCTGGCGCTTGGTGATGCGTTGCCACAACGAAAGTTTTCTCAGAGGATTTCTAGGGGATGTCGGGTTCCCGAGCAATCCAGAGGCTGCTTGTTTTATCCGCAGGCTCATGCGCCAGGACTACCCGGATCCTCGGACACTTCCAGATTCTCTGGTTAGATGCATACAGGTATCCAGAGAGTTCATGGCATTAACTGATATCAGGACCTCGAAACACGTGAATGAGTCCCCGATAACCAAGTTCTCCAACCTGAATGATGATGCATCCCGTGATGCGACTATAATTGTCGACGGTCAAACGCAGACGAGAAGCAACTCAGTTGATTTAGAGTGTCTACCGGATAACAATAGCATCAGTGAAAGCGACTTAAAATCTTTCATGGACGCGAAGATAAGAGTGTTATTTTGCCGGTCGAGGTCAAGGAATTCCACGTTATTCAAGACGACCAAAGGAATGCTGGGCAGCAGGATTGGGGATGTTAGACCTGGAGACGTGGTGGTAATTCTGGAGAACGCCCATACACCCTCTCTCTTGCGTCCACGCTCGCAAGACGGGGATGGAAATACGGCCAATCGCGGGGGCATCGAAACTACCTTTACTTTTGGTGGAGAGGCATATGTGGAAGGTATCATGTATGGGATTTCATGGACACTAACCCAAAGAAGGAGGTATTTAATATCTATTGATATATGTTGGCATCTCTGGTTTTTGTTGCTTCTTTTTTTTTTTTGAGTATAATGCAGTCTTTGTAATACAATGATATCAGCACTATCAGGTACAAACTTCATGTTTTTGCTTTACGGTCCCAAAGTGCCGAACAACAGAATTGGGAGTAACGGAAGGACCAGGACAGAAAATGTCAGGTCAGATGAAGGATTCTCCAAAAACACAGATATCATCAGTAAGTCAATGAGGCAGCCGTCTTCATGTTATACCTTCCAGGTCATAGGCGCCATACCTCAATGTCCAAAAGCAGAGCCAAAATTTTCGGTAGTTACGATGAAGGGTATCACGTGCCTTCCGTCTCTCCAAGCACGTCCCTTGTCTATCGATCTCTATATACCTACACGAGCTGGGACGCTAAAAAGTGCGGTTAGTGTGTTAAGGATTTTCGCGGGCGGTCCCTACGTAAATTCCGTACGCACTAGCTAAATGTTATCGCACGGACTTTTCTGTCACATTTTCCTATCCAGAAAATTGTTGGTACTAACCTCTTAACTTTCAGTCTGTTAACGGGGGGCTTCCTGCAAATTGTTTGTAGTTAATTCTCAAACCTCATACTATAAACTTTGAACGTCGTAGGTAAAGGGGGGGTCCCAGGGGGCGCAGCCCCCTGGTAAAACAAAAAACTTTACTAAAATTCTAAAGTAATATATATTTCTGAGAAGTAACCGGCTCAGCCTTTTATTACCAAACGAATAGTTACTTCAAAGCCAGCTTAGAATCCAGCTCTGCACGGGCTCCAACCCAGAATCCAGCCTTACACCCACTGGGAAGGGCCGCGGCTTGCCGCCCCGAACACTAGTAACAGCCGACAGGACATCCTTCATGCCTGCCGCTGTCCGTTAAGCATCGATCGTACCTGCATTTCCATGACATAGCCTTCCCTCTTCGCATTTCACTTGGTTCCTTCTCCCGATTTCTTCGTCTCTTCCACTTCTTCGTTAAGTTTCCATTCAGCAACCAGTCGCTGTTGCCATACACACAACACCCATCTTTACCAATCTCAACTTCCGAGACAAACGTCATTCTACCATAAAGTAATGAAGAAGGCAAGAACACGCGGCAGAGAATTTGAAATGTGTAGTGGCTGTGCTCACCCACCCTTTCCCTAATTGGGTGGTAACTGCCCGGTTTCTGGAGTTATGGGGTGTACAGAGGGTGTGGGAGTGGGAGTGGGAGTGCCCATGTCGGTCAGTGCCTGCGTTGGATGTACGGATACCGTAGCGAGACTTGACAGACGAGGAGAAATGGAAGCGTGGAAAGTGAGGGGCGGGATTCCTTGACACAAGGGCGGCTTGTTAGGCAGAGGGAGCACTCTCACCGATCACGACGCAACCTTGCCAACTCCCACCTACCCGTCACCAATCCACTCGCCAACCGCCATCCTGTTTACGTTCCATCCCGCACGACGCCCAAATCATACCCCTCCTGAAACCTGGGAGCCAAATAAACCGTCATGTACGGCCCCGTCCGATCCGAATAGGAGAATGACACCCAAGTATGTGTCCCAGGGGCCTTCTTGAAATCCACATGCGGACTGTTTTTCTAGTTAGCAACCACTTTTCTCATCTCCATATCTCTCTCACCTTCCACATTCCATGCAGCTCAAATCTGAAGAAGACGGGGCAAGTAGTACTCACAAAGCCTCCCTAATCGCCTCCTCATAAGCCCCCTTTCCCAGCTCTCCCCATCCAAACCCCCTCCACACCTCTTCCAGTCCCTCAATTATCGCTTCCTCCGTCTCAAAAATCTGCATCAGCGGCACATACACCTTCACCTCCGGCTCCTCTTTCCCCGGACGCATCTCATAGCTGGTGAACCCCTTCCAGTAACTATTCTCCTTGCTCTCATACCGACAGGGCTTGCTCACTTCTTCTGTGGCGTCGTTTATCGGCGACCGGTCCCCGCGCAAGAGGTGATAAATACTCCTCAAGATCCCCACGCCGCGCAAGGTTTCAGGGGAGGTCAAGCGGCCACCGAGCGTCATTGCGTCGCGCATCACGCTAAAGGCGTTGCTAGGCACGAGGGTGTAAAGTTTCACTCGCGCGCCTTGGTCCGGAGATACAGCGTCGATGCCGATGCAGTTGGGCGTCATCACCGCCTTTCTAGAAGCGACATAGTCTTCGACTAGATTGATAGCGGGTTTCAATTCCTCTCCCCGAGTCCGGATTCCCCGCAGTGCAGAAAAGAGCACCTGATGAGGGGACAAACCCGTCACCATACTTTTCGGCCCTGCAAAAAAGTAGGGTTTCAACACCATCTTTTCCCCTACGCACCCAATGGCGATGGCTGCGTGCTCTGGCGGTAGTTGACTAGATCTATGGGCGATTTTCGATTGAAGGACCACCTGTTCCGACGGAGTCAGGTACATGTGCTCTTTAACCTCGTCGTACCACGTCAGATCAGCTTTTGTTACGCCCTTACCATGACACTCCCTGGCAAGTAAGGGGAATAACCGCTTATACTCCTCTTGATTCGTCGGGTCTTCTTTGGTGGTTCCAGTGGCAGGTATTGGGTCGAAACTAAACCTTAGCGTCCCTACCACCGAGGATGACGACGGAGACCCGGCGGGGGCAGAGCAAAAGTTCCAAGTTGCTCGGTAGGGAGAGCCTTCGTAGTTGAGAGGGGAACAGAGGCGGTAGGAAGAAGAGGGACGCGGGCCGAGGTTGGGGATGACGTTGTTGCGGAACCAAGAGATGTGGAGGGATTGTTGGGTGGGGGTGTAGGAGTGGGAGTGGCGAAGGATGGACGTGAGGGAGGGAGCGCAGGCGGTCCACCAGTAGTGGTGGTGGGGGTTGGTGTCGTCATATTGGGAAATCGGAGGATTGCTGGTGGATGAGTTATGACGGGTCTGGATCGTGATTCGGATTTTTCGTGGTGATCGGGTTGAGAGGTATGTTGGTCTTGTCAGGGGACTGATGCGGATGGCTGTGTGCGAGGAAAGTTGTCTCATCTTGAGAATTATCCCAAACTGTAGAAGGCAAAACTTGCAAGAGAAAAGAAATAGTTCATGGATGATATATTCGCAGATCCAAGGGGGATATGCAAACGTGAGGTAGATATCACCCCGAAAGTGACGAGTGTGAGATGAATGAGAAAAGGTTGAGTGGACGTTGAAATAAACACGTGGACCCGATTACAGTCCCGCTCCTGTGCATGGCCTGACCAGGGTATATCCCCACCTACTTGAACGAAGATCGGCCACCATCAAGCGTAGGCCTCAAGCCGTATGTCAACTCCCCGCTGCTGAAAAGGGAAAAACATCCATTATGCGACATCATTCATAAACCATCATTAACAACCTACCTACGTACCTCCCCTTTCTCCCTACTCCTCACCCTCCCCCTTCTTCACCTTCCCCCCCTCCTTCACAGCCTCATATGCCTCTCTCCTCCGTTCCTCATTCCCCTCCACCCTCCACTCCTCCAAATACCCCGGCACCTCCTTCACTTGATTATAACCCCCCGCCACCGGCTCCCCAAACTGCATCCAAGCAGGCACCACGCCCACCCACGTCTTTTGTCTTATTTCTTGGTTGCCCATATCCCCCCGCTCATCATGCGGTTCTCCACTTCTAATCTTTGCACTGCCCGCCTTGATTTTCACCTTCAATATACTCGTGCTCTGCATCTCGGCGTTATTGGGCGGCGTGCGCGTGTTTTGGTACCGAGACGGAACGACGCTGTTGGTTATGAGTTCCATTGCCCAGAGCTTTTCGGCCGGGTCGGTCACGGGGACGGCATACCCGAAGAGGATGGCGGAGCGGTAGTTGTACGAGTGCGAGTTGGGGGTGAGGGAGAGGACGTAGCCGTCTAGGAGGGTGGCGGTTATGGTTAGGGGGGTTCCTTCTTCTTTCCCAGAAGAGGAAGAGGAGCGGGAGAGAGACATGAGGCGGGAGGAGACGTAGCTGGATGGGATTAGTAGGGGGTTGAGGTGAGGGGGTGGAGGAAGGGGAAATAAAAGGGAGGAAGGGGACAAACCCGTGGAGATACAAGTCGAGAACGTCGCCTAGGTCGGCGGAAGGACGCGAAAAGGAACCCATTTGGCCGATCATGGGGAGGACGGCGGGGAAGGGGGAAGTGGAGTCTTGGAAGGCGACATTGACGAAGGGGGAGGAGTTGATGATGCCGTGGATGGTTTCGAGAGAGTAGCGGGCTGGAGTTGGGTATAGGGTTAGCATTGCGTTGTTGACATGGCGTAATGAGTGACGAATAGACAGGGAGGTCTACCTCTGTCGTTGAGTCGCTTGACCGTGCTGTACGGCTGTTTGGGGTATTCTAGTTCGCGAGAAGGCATTTTGGCGGAGGATGAGATGAGGAGTGTTGACGTGTCACGATGAGGGCATGCTATAGCGAAACAACTGTTTCTTTTTGTATCCGTCTTGAATCAATTGTTGAAAGGCTACTATGTATGACACATGCATCCGTGACTCACGGCACATGGCCTCTGTGAGTTCGACCATAAGAAGGAAGGTATAAGAACATCGAGAACCCAATATGGAAAGTGATGATAAGCGACGGAGCGGGGAGATGAGGAGTACCTAGTAAGTAGCGTCAGCAAACCGGGCACGCCCGCCATCTCGGATGCGGCCCGATGCTAGATCCGGCTTGAATCGGCTTCCGGGATATGGATGGATTGGATCGACACAAGACGACAATGGGTACCCCGAATACGCCCTTTAGATGACATTCATTGTATACTATCAACTTGATCCCAATGAATAGAAAACAGTCGTCAGACAATCATCTCATCCATTGGTAATGATAACACCCTCTTGGCGTATACCAACCATACATGTGCTTCCCAACCGGGAGACCGTCCTTATTAATGATATGGCTTCATTATGGACTTCCAACATCCATGCTGGAGGCCAAGACTAGGTCGAGGAAACCCGACGGATAACCCGACATTCAGGATGGAAGGACTAGCGTGTTTGGTGTTACGCCAGAATGGGCCGTTTCTTTGGACATGGCGAGCTATATCAGAGTCACTTATATCCAATTTACATAATATGGCGCGGTCGGGTGGTGAACGGAAAGGAAAAGGAATTGAAGAAGGAGCTGGAGAAGGGCGGAATTGAACAATGACCTACCTGGGACCAAGCCAGACGAAAGAGGGGCCCGGGCTCCCCCACAGGGCACAGAGGTTGACCCCACCATGTTACCCCACCAAGCAGAAAAGGCCTTGCGTTGATTGGCCAGTGCGCACTTCCCCTTGAAGTCGTCCAGTCCCTTTTGCAAAGTCACTTTAACTTTGTCTCGTCAACTTCCACTTCCACTTTGTCATCTCGTGTCCCGCCCTCGTTCAATGTTGTCGCGACTGGAGCTCAACGTCGTCCTATCGTCACCACACTCGAATAACGAGAACAAGTTGTCCGGGCGCTTCCATCACAACGCCCATCTCTCGGATCTTGCCGAGCTCAATGGATCCAAACCACGTCCCGGCCTCGGATCGCGACATTTTCTCCCCTGCGGCGGAAAATTGAAATTATGTCCCGACAGTAGCATCTCAGATGGATACAGACAATGTCCCGGAAATGCTGCCGAGATGGCGGCCGTGCTATACTCTGACGACCTAAGACCCGCAACCCGTTGGGAGTTCACGGTGCTCTTGCGGGCGAAATCTTGGACCACACCCCACAGTCATTGCTCCAACCTTACCGCCACTGCCAGCACCATCAAGGAAAAGCACGATCCATTATTTCCAAAAATGCTCGCGAGTCTTGTTTCCTTTCCAGATGAAAGAGAATTCAGTCCCGGCGGCTCAGATCCAGAACCCCTTCCTTGCAAGTGCCAGAGCGTAATGGAACGTCTTGGGTTTCGGCTGAAACGCCGCCAAGGGGTAATCCAGGAGGCGTTACCACCATTACCACAGCTCTGATATCATCAGCCTCGTCTCCCCCAGCCAATCACCCTCCAGGCCTTGTTCCAGCATAAAGATCATTACGCCACTCCTGGTACACTCCCCTGGGACGGCTCGTGTTTGAGCCTGTGCTCCCGTGAGTGATCCCCGACCGACGAACTCGTGATGCTGGGATCCCGGGGGTTGGGGCCGATACTAGACATACTACATCCGAGTCCATGTCGATAGCAGCCAGCCTGTCCTTGGCAGCCGCCCCAACACCGGTTCGTTGGTAGTCAGTCTGACACACAGACACACGTTCAAAGAAAACTGTTTTGCTCTCCTTTCTCTCTCTCCTTTTCCTCTCTTACCTTGAACTGGCGTTTGGCAACTCTGCACATTGCTTGAATCCCCCCAAGCATGTCATTGCCGCTATTCACAACTTAATCTTCACACACACAGACGCAAGGCACGTCGACATGATACATTCTTTTTGACTAATACTTTTCCATCAAGCGTGTTCTTCTTTTTTTGGTTGTGATACCCCCATTGACTGGGGTTCCCTTCTCTCCGCCCGTTGAATATTCCATCTTGCCAACTGACCATATCCACTCTTGTTCACCACCATGGCCGTCAAAGGTGCCACCGAGGCCCTCGTTGCGGCTTTCACTTTGTCAGTTCATCCATGGTCAGTAAACAATAACATCTCAAAGCTAATATGTCAACAGTGGTCTCGTGTTGTATGCCGCAACCGCGGCTCTCGCTCTCTACGCAAAGGGTCATGGCATCGCGATACTCCGGGACGGCCAGAGGCTGGTCCTCGTCGGTTTTCTATCCACTGCTGCCCTGTGGGCACTTAGCGATTTTATTTCTATTCTTCTCCAAGTCGACACCTCGTCGAGATCTTGCCAGGTCGGCATAATATTCGCTACCATCTTCGACCAACTTGCCCGCTTCTCCATCGAACAATATCTTCACTGGGCGCAAAACACGGGGGAGAAGGTATCCGCGGTGCAGATCGTCTCCCAACTCCTAATACTCAGTCGACTTGTTGTTGGAGTAGTGTTTGTTGGATTCACTCGACCCCAAACCGATTCTTTCTGCGTCGCTGCCTCTTCCGAACTTCCCATTTCGATCATCGTTATCTCCATGGACGCCGCCATTCTTCTTTGTCTCATCTCACGCGCCTTGACCCAGAACACTCAGCTCAATACCGAATCTCAGGATGCTAGGCGGAAGGCACTGTTTTGGGTCATGGCTGGCCTGGCTGTTTGGATCGCGACCAGCGTAACCTTGCATCTTGGTTTCCGTTATGTTGCCCTGGGGGTCAGAACTGCTCTGCCTGCCATTGGCCTGGCCATTTTAATCAGTAAGTGTCATTGTTCTGGAAATTGATCTCACTGGCTGACTGGGTACAGCCATTCTTACTCTCTGCTCTGGCAGCCTCGGGTCGGCTAGCATACTGCGATCCAAATCTCCTGAAGCGCTCTCTCCTCGCCGTGTCGAAATCAGCCGCGATATTTCCACGTCCAATACCTACTTTCCCAGCGGTAACTACCAAGATGTCAAGGACGCTGCCATTAGGTCCGAGACAGCATTCATCAACCCTAGGGAGGCACCATCGACGAAGAACCAACCTACTCAGGGACTCCCGACTATTTCACTGCCCATCACTGGAGTGGTTGGCATGGGCGGAGTTCCCATTGAAGGACAGCTGTTTCCGCCTATCCGAGCAAATACCGCCCCAACGATCGCAAGAACCAGGTCGGTTAAGGCTGCTGTTGGTCTCCATAAAAAGGGGGCTTCGGCAGGTGGGAGGTTGCAGATCAGTAATCCCGTTCTCCAGGACACCGGGAAAAGCCCGCTCGATAAGATTCCCACCGTGGATTTGCAGGAAGCCATGAGGGCAGAGCGGGAGCGAAGGGAGAAGTTGCTCAGGCAAACGAGCCAGGCCAAAAGGGAAATGAATACGCAGCCGCCGGTGATGGATCCCAGGGAGGACATGAAGAGAGCTGCGAGTGTGAAGAGAAAGGAGGTTGGGTCACCAGTTTCGTCCGGTTCTTCCCTTCGCCCAGAAAATATGGGAAAGACTTCTTCAACAGAACTGTCGCCAGGAATGAGTGGAATCAGACAACGATCGCCGCGCCAGTCGCCAGAACCATCAGAGGCCTCGAGACAGTCCACTTTCCCTTCTCGATCCGTGTCCCCTCCCAAGGAGGACTTCGAACAAGCACTACCGAATCTCGATATCCGTCCTTCGAGACAATTGCCTCCCTCGCCTCCCACGCCGCCACAGGAAAGGCCCTTGACCATGCTTCAAAGGCGACCCACTACTGGCTTGCCATCAAACCCCAAAGCTCGAGCATTGAAGCTCGAACAGGATGCACCCGGCGCAGAACGTCAGCAGACTGTTCTTTTCCTCAACAATATCATCTTCGACGAGCCCGCCTTTGCACATGACATTCTGCTGGGTTCTGATGATATGACCGTCAACAAACCTCGATCTCCCGGGACCCCTGAATCGGTCGTACACCGTCCTCGGCCCATTCCGAGAAAGGTGGCTGATCCTAATCCTTTTGCCATTCCGGGTGCCGGGCATAGGAGGAGCAAATCTAGCGGCTCGTTAGTGAAGAAGTCCATGTATATGTCCGAAGATGTGCCGCTGCCCCTCGCACCTCTGAAGAGTGCAGGTGCAGGAACTCGCCCGCAGCCGAATCGGACGAGGAGCATGACGGTCACCGAGAAAATTGAGCGCATGTACCCTGGTGAGATGCCAAGTAAAATGCCACCAGTTCCCGAGGTTCCTGCTGTTGCCAGTTCCTACCTTCAATCTCCCTCTTCAGTGGATTCCGACGAGGTGCGACAACCCAGCCAATCAACGAAAAGTTCCACGACCAAGACCGTGAGTAGCACTACCATCGTCGAGGAACCGACAAAGGCTACCGAAAGCAAGTACGAGACAGATACGGCGGCGAAGCGGGCATCATCCCCAGTTATTCCTGTTAATTCACCACGAGAGTTGATGAATGATGAGGATTTGGAGTCACCAGATGAGGCCGATACACCCTGGAGCTCCGTCCGCTATACTCAAGTCAGTGTTGGCCTTGCTGTAGCTCAACCTATGCCTCGGCCGGTGGTAAATCCCGTGCGTGAGGAGAGCGAAACCAGGATTCAACCTGAGGAAGAACAGAAGCGCCCAGAAATCAATACTGCGGTCGAGAACAAACCTGCACCCAAGCACAGCTCTCCAGTGCAAGCTTGGCGGGTCGGTGACAAGTGCCCCGTGTTCTCTGACAGAAAGTCAAGAATCAGGATGCCACCTCCTTCGCCTCTGCCGTTGAACGGTCCACGCAGGAACAAGGTTATGGTTCAGGCCGAGCCTTCGCCCCTTGAGTCTCCAGAACATGCATTCCGCCAAATTCAGGAACAGCTCAAGAAGTTCGAAGAGCCCGTGACCGAGGCTTATTCAAAGGACCACACTGAGCGCCTCGCCTTACTTGAGGATTTGGAGAAGGAGATGGGTATCCACGAGAATCACTGGCAGGAATTGAAACATGATATGGGTCGTGATTCGTTGAGCAGCATGCAGACCAACTCTCCAGGTAACAGGAACTCAAGAACCGATTCAACTATTGGAAGCATCGTAATCGGCCGCGGCTCGGCTGTTGGAGTCATGGCTGCTGAGCGCAGAGCTTCTCGTCAGACCATGTTGCGTAACAGTGGCAGCTACAATCCCAACAGGCTCTCGAGGGATGCTGTCAAGTCACACATGAGCATCTGGCAGAAGCGGATGACGGAGGCGCACATTGACTACATAGAGACGGCCGCAGAGAGACTTCGTCAACCAAGCGACAACTTCTTGCCTTTGCCGATGCCTAATGTCCAGCTTGGTAGCCCCACTCCTCCTGATTCTGATGCCTCTGATGAGGAAGTTTCGGTTCTGTCAGCGCAACTGGATGCTGTATCGAATTGGCTGTCCAAGAAGGCTGTGAAAACTGCGTCTCTGTGGGCTCCTGGATCGAGACAGTCTACTGTCGCTGCAAACCTTTTATGGACGCCCGTGCCTAAGGCTTCACCTACGTCCACGGTCGCGTCTCTGGAGATTGAGACCTTTGTCCGGCCCGCAGCTCGTAAGGACCTGCCACCCCTTGAAATTACCAGCACGCAGTTGTGGTCCAAGCCAGCGGTGAATGTGAACAAGGTCCCTTCACTCTGGACGCCCCCTGCACCTACGGAGGTTTCAGAGACAACTGCACTGTGGGTGCACATTCCCAAGGTTGCCGAACAGTGTATGACGCCCCTACCAGAGGCCGATACATTTGTCCGCCCTGCGACGCGGAAGGTTCTGGCTCCCCTTGAGATCACGAGCACTCAGCTGTGGGCGAAGGCTGAACCTGAAGAGAGGCCTTCACTCTGGACCCCGCCACCCAAGGCTTCTACCAACAAGACGAACCTTTTGTGGTCGCCCCCTCTCAAGGTTCTCGAGGCCCCTTCACTGGCACTTGATCTGCCCTATATATTTACCCGCCCTGCGGCTCGAAAAGATCTTTCTCCGCTCCAAATCTCTTCCAAGCACCTCTGGCGAAAACCATACACCAGCACCAAGGACACCACCGGACTTTGGCGACCTTCCTGGGCTTCTGTCGCCCCTCCTGCTGACTTCAAGCGTCTCTCTTTGCAAGAAACTCCCCAACCCCGACCTCAAAAGGCTCCGCGACCCGTAACTCAACGACCTCCTCGTCGCAACAAGCGTGTCAGCGCTCTTCCCGACATCCTCGAAAATCCCGAGCCTCTCCCTGACAAGCGCGGCACCCTTGGTATCTTCCAGTTCCCCTGGGGCGAAAGGTCCGACACTGCGACCATCCCTCTACCGCGTCCATTCGGTCGCTCCATGCCCGGCACCATGAGCTCCGGCATCCCTCCCTTTAGGGCGTCGTACACTCCCGACTACTCGACCTCTTTCTTCAACGAATATGATGAGGAAGACCCCGAGTCCGACTACGAGCGTCAGGAAAGCGACGATGAAGAAGATGACGACTTTGACGAGACGACTCTCTGGGAAATCGCCAGCCTCCTCAACTCGGACGCTGTCCCCTCGAGGAACAGCCTCTTCCTTTCTGCCACTCCTGTTTACAACGTCGATGAGTACTACGGCAGCGGCAGCAGCAGCAGCCATCTAGAGCCATCCGCCTCTACGTCGGCTACCGACATTGACGATGATGATGATGATGCTTCCAGCGAGCACTCAATCCTGATCGGCCTCGCCGAGGATTCCCAGGATGACAAAGAACATGTTGCTGAGCAATATGACGACCAAGGATTTTTGGTGCACGACATTGCTCTCCGTTCCACTCCTTCAATCCTGGGGCAGGGATCCCAGGACGTCGTGGCTACTCGCGCCGCACTGATCGATGACTTCGATGCTGCCTACTTCCCTCCTTCAATGGCTACCAGTGCCGCATTGATCGATGACTCGGCGCCCGCACCGGCTCCGCCCCGAGTGGAGACTAGCGAGAACCAAGCCGTGGAGCCGCGCCTGCAAATCTCGACCGGCCTATGGAGCCGCCCTGAATCATCCGAAAATAAGACTTTGTCTTCACCTCACTCGGTAGCAACAACAGGTCTCTTTGTCCCGGGCCGTAAGTCGACATCCGACACCCGCACCACCGAGCAGGAGCCGGCTGCCATCAACATGCATCGCACACCCCGGACTTCGGCTGCCGAATCATGGAGGCCGTTGGATAGGCTCATGTCCGACAGCCTCTGGACGCCCGAAACTGCAGCCGCTAAGGGCGTTAGCAGGCAGGTGTACCAACATTGGATCACTCTGAGCTTGGCCGCTAAGGCTCAGCTCGATAAGGCTGAGACCGCTCCTTCAGCCGCTCGTCTGCCTCGCCTTCAGGCTACCCCCGAAGAATGGGAGGCCGCTCTCAAGGAGGCTCTCATCGCCAGTAGTTACCCCATCAATGTCAAGTGCCGCACTGAGACCGGCCGCATCACCGCCACCCCTGCCGACTGGGCAGCTGCCCTTGAGGAGGCCATCCAGGCTTCCATTATCAAGTCTGTCGCCCCTGTCTTCAACTCGGCCGTCCGTCACCCCGTCTTTGCTGGCTCTTCCCTCATCACCACCTCTGAGTGGTTCCACCCCGCCGCCATTGGCTACACCTACGACGTCGCCCGTGTCCACCCCGCCTTCTTTGGCTCTCTCGCCATCACCTGCCCCGAAGAGTCCGTCCACCCGGCCATGTCCGCCTACGCTCACAAGAAGCTTCGCCGTCATCAGCGCTCGGGCTCGTCTGCTTCCAGGTCTCACTCCCGCAAGAACAGCCGCAGCCACTCCAGCAGCAGCGGCAAGAAGCGCAGGGAGTCCATCCTTGCTCAGATCCATGCCATCGAGGCGGAGATGGGTTTGAGTCCTGAGAAATCAGCCGTCGTGCCTGACGTTCCAGAGGTCCCGTCACTCGACGAAATCGAAGCCTCTCGCAAGGCCAAGATACAAGCCCAGATCGAGGCTCTCGAGCAAGAGAAGTTGTTCGCTGCCCAAACCGCCCAGGAGAACCTCGCGACTAGGCGCCGCGGTAGCTCCAGCGTGTCTCATGCCACCACAGCCAGCGGCACCACCGCCAACTCGGAAGACGACGGTCCCGCTTCCATGGACTCCTTCCGTCCCTCCACGGCCACTAGCGTTGACTTGGAGCATGATCAGGAGGAAGAAAAGAAGCCTGCCATGCAAAACTTCCTCTGGACTGCCCCCTCTCCCCTTCCCCAACCTACCCCCAGCCCCATCCCGGCCCTCTGGACTCCCCTCCCCTCCCCTGCTTCCTCCTTCTCGTCGTACGAGGAAGCCTTGCCCAGCCCTAAGCTCCTTTGGCAACCCAAGCCCGGCAAACCCGAAATCATCGCTAAGACCGATGAGGATCGCGAGGCGCATGAGCGCAGGGCTATGGGACGCAAGGGTCTTTTGACCCAGCAGAGGAAGGCGGAGGTTTTGGAGCAGATTTCTGGTGTCACAGGACTTTGGGAGAAGTCCGAGGTGGTGGTCAAGGTTAAGAGGGACTGGTCGGCCCCGTACGTGAGTGCTGAGCTGTCATCACCTTAGTGCTGTGATGGCTGTGATGGCTGCGTGATGATTGGGGAGTGATTGACTGGCTTGGCTTGGTTTGTTGATTTGGTTTTGACACCGGATTTCGGTTGTGGGATTTAATGGGAAAAAGGACAGGAGGAAAGCGAAACATGGCAGGGAATGAAAGGAAAGGAAAGGAAATGGAAGGGGAAAGCGAGGGAATATGGTAAAACAACAGGAAGGGTGTTTCAAGGAAGGGAGTATGGACTGGAATTTGAGTAAGGGAATGTTTGAGGTCGGCTTGCGTCTTCAAAGACCAATGACCAGGGATAGAAGAAATGAAAAGGAGGAAATACCTCTGGGTTCGGGTTCCAGTTCAGTTGATGTATCATACCCAGGTTAAGCTACCTACCCTACGGCTTTGATGAGAAGCGTAGTAGTTGAAAGATGACATTGCAGATTCCACTGGTCTTGATTCCGTGACATGTTCTATCATGTGTGATCAAGGATTGAACGGACAAACCGTCAAGAGACAACAGATCACTTCAGTTCCATTAGAAAACGAAAATCCTGGAAAATGGCGAACGCAGAGGCAGACAGTCATCCCTCTTTTATATTTAGTCTTCGACCGCTTGTGGTGATCGTTGGACATAGCTTTTCAGCCGCTGCCGTGAAGCCGATGATGCTGAAATCCACACTTGATGCTTTTGGGGTTCCGTAAGTAGTTACGTAATTTAGCCTAAATTAGGTAACCGCGACCTATTGGCGGGTACTTAGTGATGCGCTTGTGTTCTGCTTTGCACAGAAACGGTTGAGCGCAACAACAACAACCCTTCCCATTACACCCCTTTGAAAAAGAAAAGCAAGAGAAAAAAAGAGAACGGGGATAACGGAAAAGAAGGAAGGAAAAAT